GTTGAAAGTATAGATCCTGTCATGGCTTTTTAAAGTCACCGCTTTTGACACCTGAGTTAAGTGAGAGTTCAGTGATGTAAAGTCTTGTGTTACCTTGCTACATTGGAGATTCCCACAGTCCTGGAGATGAGAATTCCCATATGCTCACCCAAGTTTGTAAGTGTCCCTGAGGGGGTTTCTGACTTCCTTTTCCTGTATCAGATCAGGGTTCCTATATGACATGCTTAGAACTTAAGGAGGCATGGATGGGGGAAGTGAGTAGCTTCCTAACAATTAAGATTTTTTTCCTCATAAATACTTCCTGGAATTAGTGTATATCTGCACAATCCTTTTTGCGTAATGGTCATACTTTTGGTTTTGATTTTTCTTTTCTGCAAACAGAACTTTCTTTAATATACTGAGCTAGTTTACTTTTGGTGGGTATAATGGGAAGGAAACAAGTTGGGGAAGACTTCTGTAAAGTTTTATATGAAAGTCTCAAAGCTCAAGATTTATTCTTATAACTGTCTGGAGATCACACCCATCCCTAACTGTACAAATTTGAGGAATGAGAACCACCCATCTGTGATCTATCTTCCATCTCAGTCTACTTAAATAAACTAATTATAGTGTTCTTTGGTTTTATCTGTTGCAGATTGAGTAGTGAAAAGTAATGATCTCTTATGCTGCATAGTTAATCTTTGTTCAAAACAAATGCAGATGTACTAACCCCATTTTGTATTTGTAGTCAGTAAAAGGATTACAACTCTCTAATTGGCTTCAGTTCATGCATGTAAAAAGGTGTTCCTAGGGAAGGTCAAGATAATTAGAATATATTAAAATGGTACTAAGTGATCCTGTCTATATACCTGGGGCAGTATGGGAGGGGGTTGGTAAGGCAGTGACTGACAATGCTAGATGTTCCCATAGCATTATTTTACTTTCACATCATGCCTTGCCTGTTGTATGTGTGTTTTGTCTTACAGTAGCTGTGAGAGGTGGTTTATAATCAGTTCTGTTTCAGTACTGAGGAACTGAGGTGACTGCTGCTAAACATGTACCAAGTTCTTGGCAGAGATAGGGGTCTTTCCTCAGGCCTGACACCTGGGTTACACTGGCTTTCTGCCTCCCCTCCTCCAACCACTTGGCATGCTGTTTAGTACTTCTGCAGAAGGTGTCACAAGCAGCTTACCCATCCAGCTGTAGAGGCAAATGAAAGCAGACAGAAGTAGGGTTCTTCAAGTGCAGGGCTGGGGAATGTATGGCCCTCCAGATATAGTTGTCCTGTAATTCCTGCCATTCTTTACCATAGGCTAGGGAGGTTGGGACTATCCCCATTCAAATTCATTGTCCCTTTCTCAGTTGATGTACAGTATTTGGATCATATCCGGAATTGCTATAGAAAGAAAAAGCTTCCCAGTACTGTACAGTTCGATTTGGCTCTAACTGAGCCCAGACAAGGTCCTGAATTGAATCCTTTCTGTTTCCAAGTCAGCATACTTAGGTGAAACCTACCTGAATCTCTTCCCTGGAATAAAAATTCAATAAATAAATACATTCTGGAGAGCTGATTATTGAATATATTGCTAAGCGAAAGTTACTGGACAGATGTGTTGTGCATCCCCATTCTCCACTGCTGGAAAATAAAATAGGAAAATAAATCTTGGCAGTAAATAAAGACCACTTAGGTTTGTTGATATAATTAAACATGTATGCTTTGGTAACCGTTGGTGCCAGTTTTACATAATACACTACTAGAAACAAAAGATTTATTGTCAGGATGAAGGAAAGTCAATATAACGCTGCCTTATTTCTCAGAAGGGTGTGAATATTCCACCTTCCTGTGCTGTTCTCAGTATAGTAAAGCATATATCATCCATGGGCTGTGGTGGGCATGTCTGCATTGGAAGGTCTTGTGGCAGAGTTTGGTGAGGTTAGTTTCTGGATCGCAAGTCCCAGAATCCTCAGGGAGCTTGCTCATTGGCTATACTAGTTAGAGACTTTGGAAGTTGTAATCCAGAAAAGTAACTTCACCAAAGTCTAGCCTATAGCAGTTGTAATGTGCTTTGTGCCTGCTTTGTACCTGTGCCAGGCCATGGTACTTGCCTTTAAGCAATCTGCCCCAGCTTATTTTTCATGAGAAGGAAGTGGTTGTTTCTTGAGTTAGCTCCAAGTCATTAGCTGATCACTTTCCATCTGGCTGTGTATTTGTAAAGCTCAAAGATTATTGTGTTTTGCTGCTGGATACGCTTATGAGAGAGCAAGCTTGGACTAACCACTTCTCAATAGGCTGCAGTGGAGGAGGAGAATGAATCTCACCATGTGTTTGATTCTGCCCCCCCCCCCACTTCTGGCCTCAAGTAGAAGGGTGGAGCTTGAATTGTGATGCATGCCAGATTACAAAATTCTGGGCTTTCCCCTTTTAATTCCTGTCATCCTATAGTATTGTGAGCTGAATAACTTTCCTATGTTTCTTGCATTGGGAGTATGACAGGCATTGTCTCTTAATGTGTGAGAAAAGAGAAGATCCGATGACTAATTAAAATGTGGCAAAGTGGGATGGCAGGCAGAAGTATTTGCAACCAGTATAACACAACTATTATTTCTACCAAATACTGTAGTGTGTGCCTTTTTTTAAAAAAAACCCGATTGATTCTTAAAACCTGTTGGACACACTGCCTGACCTCAGCCATGAATTGCAGGGAAGGTTTTAGTTCTGGCTTGGTTTAAACAGGTTTGTTACTCCAGAATTCATCAAAAGCTTTGGGGATTGTTGAGAAAAACTGGAAGCATGGATGTTTTATGTTTGACTGATTGCTGTGCTGTTGTTTGCTTCCCAGAGATATCATGTCAATTTATAAGGAACCACCTCCTGGAATGTTTGTTGTGCCTGACCAACATGATATGACCAAGGTAGGTGGGACCTGAAGACCTTTTTCTGTTAAGTACCTTGTGGAAAATGTGAGTGCCTGCTAATTTTAATATAGCAGTTTGCTGTTTAGTGCCCTAAATTTCCCTAAGTCAGCAACCAGAGCAGTGGAGAAATTGATGAGCTTCTCCTGCAGTCAAGTGATATTGACACAAAGTTTCTCTGCCTTTAAAAATGTTAGGTTCTACCTCTGTTGAAAACAAAGCAGAATGTGAGGTATCGATGCTGTTATAATCAGTAGTATGTTCCATTCAGTCCTTACTGCTAAACACTCCTGTGTTGCCTAGGTGCTGCAGTTAAATCAAGAGGTGTGGATCCACTCTTCAGCCTTGAAATTAGGGGAAAGGAAAGAGAAAGCAGTGTGAAGGAAAAACAAACAAACCAACCCGACTTGCAAAGTGATATTTATATCCAAATGGGACTGGATTATTATACCCTTTTTGCTGATTTATTTAAAAAAATTATTTTAATTTTTTTAAAAAAATTTGCTAGAGGGGTGCCAGAACCCTGCTGTCTTTGACCTTTGCTTCTGCAGACAGAAACCTTATGCATTCTTGCAGACTTGAAACAGAAGTAGGCCCACACACATACTGGAAGCTGTACTTGCCTCTGCCTCACTCTTCTTATAATTTAGATCATATGCTTTATCTCTTTTTGTCATACTATAAAGTGTGAGCTTCTTCTTTGGAGTTGCATAAAACATTAATAATGAGACTCATCACTATGTCCCCATCTCTCATAAATGAGCCTTTGGCAGTGGGCTGCGTTCTGTGGCCTAGAAGATAAATCTGCCTTGGAAATATGCTGACAGTTATAAAAAAGGATCATGGCCTTCTTCAAGAATGTGATACCTCCAGTTTAGAAAACTCACTTTTTAGTCCCAGAATCCCTCAGTGAAAATGACCACTGGCCAACCTAATTGGTCATAACGATAGATCTGCAAACAGGGTCTCTATGGCTGAAGGTCAGGCTGATTTATCTGAGCAAAGCAGATGGTACAGATGGCCTCGTCCTGCAGAATGTAGCCTTCTAGACATTGTGGTACATTATGTCCCATCTGTCTTATCTTAGTATAGCTAATTGCGAAGAATGCAAGAGTTACAGTCCCTATAACATCTGGAAAGCCACCTTTTGCCCACCCCAGTTTAAGACTTTAAAGATCAAAAAAGCACATGAATGTAAACATGGAAGTTTGTAACTTGTGTGATGTCCCATTTCCAGAAATGCCTGTAGGAGACCAACCACTTGGGAGTCTGATTATGACAAAGCTTAACATCCTTCTGTTAGTATCTGTTGAGTGTTGCTGACTTTCCCAGTCTTCATATGCTTCCAGTTTCAACTGGGCAGGTTCGAGTGGCAATGATACTTACTTCATGCAAACAGATAAAGTGATAAAACTGATCCAGGATATCCTACTTCAAGTTGCATGTGGAAAATCATATTCAACCCCCCTTCCGTGAGAATCGGTTTGTTGCAGGTGCAAAACTAGCATATTGGTGAGAAAACTGGGTTGGACCTCTTCATGGTAGCTAGTTCCCCACCCCACCCCAAAGCAAGGATAGACAGTCTGGTGCACTCTAGATTAAAAGCTATCAAGGCTTCTGGAAGTTGTAGACCAAAACATCTGGAAGACACTATGTTGGCCACTCCTGTTTTATAGTCCAGCCATTCTCAACCTTTTTTTGGCCATGGCCCTTTTGGGAGCTCTTGTCAGGTTTCAGGGCCTCCCATCAAACAAGGAATGCCTTTGGCTGTGTGCAACAAGGATACAACAAGAACAGATGAATTTGTGGCCCCCTTCAAATGTGCCAGGGGGTTGTATGGCACCCATTGTGAATGGCTGCTCTAGCCCATTTTCCTGACTTACTATAAATGAAAAATGTGGTAATAGAATTAACCAGACCATGGAACTATCTTACACCCCCCTTTTTTTTAACCTGTTGGGACTTAGGATTTTCACCAGAGCAACTGCTGGGATGTGGGATATGAAAGGTTGAGAGAGTCAGTGGTCTGCCTGCCTTGTGAAGTACTATGGGCTAGGATCCATTTCTCCCACTTCAATTCGTGTGTGTGTGAATGAAGTCTGAGACTCAAACCTTTGACCTTTGTGAGAGGTGTTTGAGATTTCCCTTGAAAGCTGTGGAGGGTGCTGCCCTTGGCTCTAACTGGCAGCCAGCTTGCGTTTCACGCAGGTTCTGCTAGTGTTGCACCCAGTCGGAAGTGTTTGCGCGAGCTGGGCTTTTCTCTTGCAGATTCATGCGTTGATCACAGGCCCCTTTGACACGCCTTACGAAGGGGGTTTCTTCTTGTTCCTGTTTCGCTGTCCTCCAGATTATCCCATCCATCCACCACGGGTCAAGCTGATGACAACTGGGAATAACACTGTGAGATTTAACCCTAACTTCTATCGCAATGGGAAGGTCTGCCTCAGTATTTTAGGGTAAGGAGTTGACCACCTTGAGCTTTTTTTTTTAATTTTTTTTGGGGGGGGTCCAGTCAGATACTTTTGGGACATCTGTGCTTCTTAGAGTTTGGAAAAGTGATCTTTGGGGACTACATTTCCCCAAAATTCCGTAGCATTGCTAGCTAGTGGGATTTGGAAATTATAGCCCACAAGGAGTATGTGTGTGTTTGCTTCTATATAGTGTGAGTAGGTTAAATTACTTGGGGGGAGGCAACATCAAGCCATTAGAAGGTCATAGGAAGCACAGGTTCAGCCCAGTTTTGCCACCTAAGGTGAAACTGAATGATGCTCCAGCTTTACCCATGTGAAATAACTGCATTATTTTGGCACATGAGGTAGAAGAATCCTTCAAGTGCTTTACCTTGTTCCTGGAATTTAAAAAATGTGTTATGAAGAACATAGCAAAAGATGTGTGGCCTATTTTTAGCACTCAAACGTTGTCGCTTGAAGTGTCCATTTCTCTCTGCCTCACGCTAGGTTGGGCAGCGAGTATGGTTCTAATATCTCCATCTCCTAATATCAGGCTGCCTTCATTGTCTTCACATCCCCTCCAGTTTCGGTGTGTCTTCAAACATCAGAAGTGCCAACTGCTGTGAGAGATAATCATGGTTGTACAGAGGGTGGCGCCTGCTGTCAATCCAGAGTTGCTTCTTTCTCAGTTTTTAACGTTCTTTTCTGTGTGTTTCTGTGTTCTTTGTAAAAGTCACAGGATATTCAGAGCAAACAGAGCCATTCCCTCTGTTTGCTCAGTCACACCATCCTGCTTGGTTGCATTCACAGTGGGAAGGACGGAATGCTACCAAAATCTTTGCCTGTGCGTTGATTAATGCGAGTGTAGCCCATTCCAGAGGCTCTTCAGTTCTCACTAAACTCTAAAATTGCAGAAGAATTAAATGTGCCTGCTCCAAAATCATTATCAGTAAAATAGATACTGACCAATCATGTGACTCCAGGAATTTTTTTTAGAGAATAGCTGTTCTTTTCTTAGGTGGCAATAACTGAACCTTTGCACTCTCACCCCTGAAAACAGTTATTTTAGTCCCTGACCAGCTCCTGTGATTCCAGAAATGATTTCAGAATTCTCAAATTCCTTTGTTGCCATGAGAGCTGAAAACAGTAATTGCTGGGATTCTGAAGATGCTAAATTCTCTGCTTACTCCTATGCTTTGCACATATGTGATGCTTATATGAGGTTGCAGGTACAATGGGTCGGCCTTAGGGCTGTGTGTGGACCTTAGTTCTAAAGTTCTCTGCAGGTGGTCACCTGTTAGGAAGACCTGTGTGTCTTTCCCCCATCAGCCATTAGGTGACAAGGAGTTGAGAGGAAAGGGGCATAACTTGGAACAGTTACTTTTATGGTGTTTGGACTGCAACTCACTGCATTCCTTGGCCACTGGAAGTTGCAGTCCAAAAAAGAATAATGTTTCTATGTTCTGGAGGAGGAAATGTTGGTGGTTCCTCCCACGCTTGGCCCTGCCCACCGCAAACACGAGGTGGACTCCAAAGAATACAGCTCTCAACCAAAGAAAGGTTCCAAATCCAGATTACTCTGAAAACATGAGCATGAGTTCAAAATGGTTGCTGCTGTTAGAAATAAATATCCGCCTTTATATGTTCTTGCTTATATGTATCATGACTTTTCCTGCTAATATGTCTTCAAACATGTTCCTCTTTAAAAGAGCTAAATATCTTTCAGTTAAGAAGCAGCTGAGATTATTGAATGTTACAATTGACATAAAAGTGTATTGATTTCTCCAGCTTGTTCATCCCATGGGCTAGAATTGCATTTTTGTTTTTAATATGTGGAAACAAACTCTGGTTTCCTGCTATCCTGTAGCACTTGGACTGGTCCAGCCTGGAGTCCGGCACAGAGCATTTCTTCGGTCCTTATCTCCATACAGTCTCTAATGACTGAGAATCCCTATCACAATGAGCCTGGCTTTGAACAGGTAAGTTACCTGACGTCTGAACTGATTCAAGCTATGGAACTCTTTGCCACAGGATACTGAAGTAGTTGATGCAGCACCTGGTTTCGAAAGAATATGTGGCAAGTGGTACCAACCCATGGAACTTTTTAAAGCAGATCTTCTGGTTTGCTGGTGTAACTGATTTTCCACAGATTACCCAGCTTCCTGGTGTCTTTAGAGATTTTCAGCATTAGGGTGGGATAGAAAGAAAGATGGCTTGAACAACTGTGTAGAATTTATCATGCTGCAGCCCAAGGTAAGGAATCTTTATGTGGGGGAAAGATCAACATTCCCTCAGGTAAAATGATCCAGAATTGGATCAGACTGGAGTTGACAGTGACTGGAACTGAAAATCCCACACACACACCCCAGTTAATTCTGTTTTTTATGATTCCAATTTCACCACTGAAATATTTTTCCTAAGTCTTAAGTGCCATGTGGAAAAGCCTGGAGTATCTGATTCCATTCTCAAAAGGAATCAGGGTCCTGAATCAAGATCAAATACTATTGTTCTAGGATGAACCACTTGATTGAAATATATATAGGTTTCTGCAGGAGGAAGGGGGGAATTGCCCGAAGCACCTCACATTGAGGGTACTCCACTCTCAGTTCCTGTTTTTACTTTTCTCCATGCAGAGAAGCATACATTTAGGGGACAGCCCCTTAATCTGCCCTGCTGGCTTTGGCCAGCAGGGCACATCATCCACCCAAACAGGACAGCAGGCAAAGGGGGTGGTGTAGGAGAAGAGTCCAGATGAGTCTGCTGGATAAATCCTGTGATTGTACCAAAGAGGACCCAGCCATGGCTTGAAGGAATGCTGCTTTCTCTTCTCCCTTGACCAGAGATGGGAGAAGCAAAGACACTTGACTTTGTAAGCTGTGGGTTCCCAATTTCATTTCTGCAGCAGAATTTTCCCACGTTGGGAGAAATGTCTTGATCTTATGTCCTCCACCAGATACTGTACAGCTGTGGTTTAAAGAATAATTTAAATACCCACCCCTTTATCAGTGATTAACTGGATCTGTTCTCAGTTGATGATAAATATTTCAAAGTTCTTGATTCTTTCTTTTTTTTTCTGTGATGTGCCCAATGTTTGTAGCCTTATATATGTTGGATGTCTTGACAAGGTTTGCTAACTGATCTCTTGTAGGAAAGGCATCCTGGAGACAGTAAGAATTACAACGAATGCATTCGGCATGAGACGATCAGGGTGGCTGTGTGTGATATGTTGGAAGGAAAGTGCCCCTGTCCAGAGCCCTTACGGTATGTGTTGGAAGCTACAGTAGCATAACTTGTGGGTTCCAGGCTTTTGGGTGGTTGAGAAACCATCCACCAGCCAGGGGATTCAGGACGGTGTAGTTCAGAAAATAAACATTTCCAACCTTTGTCTTAAGTTTTGGGCATTCTTAGGAAGCTGCCTGCTGATGTGAAACCCAAGACTTTGCATTCAAGCAGCCGTTTTCTTTTCCAGCTGTCTAGTTGATGTGAATTGCTCAAAAACAGATTTTTCATATGGTATTCTCATTCATGCACTCCAAGTAGTTCAAACTTGGTTTTTTGTCATTCATACGTTTTGTTCATAATATTTATGCAAATGAACAGATTCAGCTGTTCAGGGCACCATAGGGTAATTGTACTCCCCAGCCGAGATTCTGTAATTTTTCAGTCAAGATGGGGATCGAGTATGACAGAGCCATCAGAGACATGGAGCTTTGTCGGGATCCACAGCATCCCTTCATTTGATGTCTGAGTTTTCACCAGATAGATCTTTTTGTTATTCACGAGGCACAGAAACTTGAGAGATCTGTGATGTGATCTGGGGCACTAAAGCCATGATATGGAATGCAAAGGTTCAAAACCTTGCTCCATTAGAGTGACACTGAGAAGATTTAGCCATGCTGCTGTTTTTGTCTATTTTCATTCTCCCAAACTGTAAAATGACAGTATTACAGTATGATGGTAATTTTCAGTGTCTTGGTGGCTGCAGAAAGGGCTCTATTATCTTATGTTTATATCCCCTTTTTCCAGCTAAGATGCCTCCCAAGCACCTTAGAATAACGAAACAAAGACATAAAGTAGGGAAGATTGCAGGTTTGTGGGAAGTATATATACTGTAGTGGGTATTTCTGGACCTGACAGAAGGTGACACAAACTAGAATTCATCTTATAGAAAAAGAGGGTAGATGACAGTGCACACGGACTTTGGAGAGTGGTTGATGAAGGTAGTTCATAAGAAAAGCAAATTTGTTGCTGGCTTTAAAGGAGTTTGAAATGATATGGACACTGCCGAATGTGATGATGTTCATACGTTATCTCAGTCTGAGAGAGAGGCTGCACAAAATGAAGATCTGAAGGTCAAGAGGATCCTAATTTTTTATTTCTTTTTGTTGTTCTGCTGATGATGTGTGATGATGTGTGTTCTGCAGTTGTTCCCTGTCCCAAACCAGATGCCCAGTGCAGACAGGAAATGTACAGCTACTTCAGATCTTGGTGTCAGAATCTGGTTTGTTATAGGTTGCAGCAAAGCAGAATAGTGATTTGGATAGTTTTTCTGCCTGATGAGTTACCAGTCACTCTGCAGGGTGCAAGGAGCCAAATGGGAATAATAGGTCAAGGTGTACCAGCGTGCTTGTTTGTGAACAGCAGGCCCAGATTCTTCACAATTTGAGTTTGGCATCTTACGCAAACCTGGCTGGAGGAAATTTCTGGGAGATCTGTTTTGTAGAAAGCTGACCATGATCTATTGAAAAGATGGTGGACGTTCTCATGTTTAGTTGCATGTAAAAAGCATAGAAGCAAAACTGGTCTGTCCTTTCAAAGATTTTTTTAAAGAATTATTATGATGGCTGATTTGACAAAATACCATGAAGAGCATATCAGAGTGTGTGTTAGAGGATACATTGCAGTGGGACATTAGCCTCTTGGTTAAACCATCTATCGTGTCTTTGCCTTGTGGCCTGATGTTTTGTTGGTTTTGTTTACTAGGGGAGTTATGGAGAAGTCCTTCATGGAATATTATGATTTTTACGAGGGGGTGTGCAAAGAGAGGCTGCACCTCCAAGGACAAACAATGCAGGTAAGGATGAGACAGAATATATAAATGCAAGTCCACATAAATGTGGACTATAAAAACTAATTTGGAAATGCATTCCGATACATGCTGTAGTCTGGTGTGACATAATAATAATAGATAATATTGAATGTGTCTTTGAATTGGCTAAATTGGGGTTTATGTAAGTCCACATAAATGTGGACTATAGAAACTAATTTCGAAATGCATTCCAATACATGCTGTAGTCTGGAGTGACATAACAACAGATACGTATTATTGAATGCGTCTTTGAATTGGCTAAATTGGGGTTTATGGGAATGTGCACAGCTCAGTTTGTCTTACAAGCAGACATTTACTTTGGAAATCTATGGCAACTACACAGGACCCTGGGTATAATGGTACTTCATAAGTACTGAGCAGTCTGTTATGAAAGCCTGTTCTCCTAAAAGCTACGTACAATCCTTACTCATAAAAAGAGAGAGGTGCTGCCAGAGATATTTATTTATTGGCATTTGTTTTATTTGTTGTTGTTCAGTGCCATCAGGTCATCTCTGCCCTATGGCTGACCCTGTGAATGAGTGACCGCCGAAATGTCCTCAGCAGTCCTGCTCAGCTACTGCAAACTCAAGCCTGTGCCTTCTTTTAGGGAGTCAATCCATTTCATATTTAGTTGTCTTCTTTTCCTGCTTCCTTCAGCCTTTCCCAACATTATTTATTAGTTAAAGTGACCTTCCCCAACTAGTACCTCCAACTCTGTTGGACTGTTCGCTGAATATACATTATTGATTAGTTAAAGTGACCTTCCCCAACTACGTAGTATCTCCAACTCTGTTGGACTGTTCGCTGAATATCTCTAGCCAACATGAATATTATTTCATATACCCTAGTTTTAACAGACTTCAAGAAGGCGTTCATCATCCTGTTTTCACATGTGTCTACAGTAGCCAATGAGTCTGGATTTGTATTTATTACGATTTTGAGCAGATTTCAGGCTTGTGAGATTTATTGGTTTTTTTTAAACTAGAACTCCTCAGACAAAAAGGCATATACTTAGAACAGAATGAGGCTTACTGTGCTTCCACATGACAAACCCACATCTAGCTATGCTATTTTTTGTTTGTTTGTTTGTTTTCCAGTGTAATAGGACAGAGGTATTTCACTGTTGTTACTGCAATCCTTTATACATTGCAAATATACAGCTAGCTTGAGATCTACTGACCACTCTTGGTTTTATTCATTTCTTTCCACTCCCAGGATCCCTTTGGAGAGAAGCGAGGACACTTTGACTACCAGTCCCTTCTGGTACGCTTGCAAGGAATCCGTCTGAAGGTGCAAGAGAAACACCAGCAGGAGAACCCAGACATAGACTCAGAGAGTAGCTCCTCTGAAACAGAGACAGATACTCAAGGCAGCATTAAGGCCTAGGAAGCCTCCCACCGGATTGCTTGGGGAATCCAAGGTGTGGGGTGGGATCTTCTGACTCCAGGTGCTGTGAAGGATCCCGGCTTAGACCCGAGAACCAGCCTGGTTCCAGAGTGGATAAAACATGGCTGAAGAAGCATCCCTTGTCTCCTTCGGTGCTCTGGTACCTGCTGTTTAAAAACAAAAAGAGGATTTGATGCTAAAACTGAACTGGGCTTGTCACAGGCTGCATCATGGAAATGGTCCTTTCCTTCACTGTGGAGACCTTATGAGCTAATGGCATCAAGGCATTCTGGAAGAACCTGTGATGGATGGTTTTCTCTCCCCCCCGGCTCTCGGTTCTAAAAGAGCACGAGGTCAAGCATGACTTTTTGTTCCATCGCCTCTGATTCAAAACATACTGCCTGATGTCAGCACCTCCCTTCCAGCTTGCCTCCATGCCATGAAGGGCTCTGCGCCATTAAGTCTGTTAAAGCACTTTTGACAGTGTATATAATGGAAGACCCACCTGTTCTTCATAGTGGTTTCATTGTAGCTTCCCAGTTGGATTGGTGATGCCTGTCCTAGACAGACCAAAGAGAAGGAGCTTCTGCTAGAACGGCTTTACGGTGATTAAATTTTTGAAAAAGTTTTCAAAGCTTTATTCAATCCCTGATCTCTTTTGCCCTCACCCACACCCAGAATTCAGTTGAGAAATGAATGAAAAAACAGACCAGAAAAGATCCTGAATTTGAGATGTCGCAACTTTATTGAGCAACTAACCAGTCAATGTTACCTTGTTTAATGTTAAACTTTGTTTTCAGTAGTTCTAGAAAGGAGGCATGGATCTTATAAGTTGCATATGGTTTGCAGGGGGGAAGGTTTAGCACTGCAGTCCAGGAGAAGGGAGGGCTACAGAGGACAAGCAGTTCTGTAGTCTTTTGATAGCATTTGAAGGAAAAGAGAGCAAATCTAGATAATCACAGAGAGAAAAAAAAAGAAACCTGGCAGTTTTCCTCTGAAGCTTTGATGCAGTGGCAGGCTTTGCTGTGAAAATAACTAACTGGCGCCTCTAATTATTGGATGATGTCAAGAGGGAACTTGGTTAGTGTCAGTCTGAGTCAGACTATAAAAATCTGAAGAGTGAAAAAGAACTGTTGAAACGCTTTGCGGAAGGACTTGGTCTTCTTTGGGCAAATCCTTTGCTGAAAGGGCGACTGTGCTTGCACATGTATGTCTCTTTTGTGACATTTGTCATAAATCCTTTGATTGTTCTGTCGAAAGTAAGAGAAAGGAAAAAAGGCTGCAGCCTGAAGGACATACCTTTCGAGGACTTAATTGTGATGTGATTTACCTCCTAGCTGGTAAGCCTCTTTTTAAAAAAAGTTTAGTCGTTTCTATATAGGAAATGTCCAGAAGCGTTGTGAGCGCTCTTTTTTCTTCATCTAAAAACTGCTTTAAGCCATCTGAAAACTGGAAGAACATTTGTGTCCTATAGATGCACTCTCTGGTCCAAAACTATTGGGGAAGCTGCAGATGTTTTGCAGATACATGATTTCTGGGCACGTTGATCATAAGAAGTGCATTTAGCCCACTCTCCTTCTCACCCATCTGTGAAAGCCCCAATTCTAGTAGGTACAGCTCTCATCTGCAAGCATCTCATCTTCCAACTGATCTTGCATCTCTTTAGAGCAGAAAGAATCATTGCTGCCTAAAATGGTGTGGAGCCTTCTGTTAGCTAACTAAATTTTGTTCACCTGCTTTTGGAAGTGGAATGGAATTGCCCCCCCTTTGTCCGCTCCTGGTCACTATCAACACCATAAGCTAGAGGAAAAAAATCTTATGGGTAGGAGATGAAAGCAAATAAAGTGTAATGCAAGATTGCATTTTAATGCCTCGTGGAAGAACAGCTCACAAGACGGAGCTAATCCTATAATGTTCATTTTAATTTCCTGGGGTTCAGCCCTGCAGAAGGCAGATGTGCTTAATCCCACCCCTAGCTCTTGAAATCAAAGGGACTTGAGTGCACAGTTATTTTTTAAGTCCCACTGAAATCAGAGGACTAGGTAGGCCTTATATTCTCTGGACTGTGCCAATTATGTAAAATCCCCCCCCCCCAAAAAGGCCCAAATGCTATAGTCACCAGGGCCACGAAGTGCTCCCTGGTCAGGGCACCTGTTATTTCTGAGAGCTTAATTCCAGATGCATGTTGGCTGTTGAACCATTATACATTTTTTTCCGAACAAGCCACAACAGAACATGAAAATGCCTTATGTGGTTGTTTATTTCACACAGCTCGCATGTGGATGTAAGAAAAAAACAAAAAGGAATATGGTTTTCTAGCTGCCCATAGTCATCTGTCAGCTGTTTTCTGAATGTTTCCATTTCAAAAAGTGACAATCCTAGATGACTGATCTAGACAAATGTTTAGTGACAGAATTTTAGGCCTAACAAGCTAAAAAGACAAAAAGAAATGCACAAGGGTCTTCAAATAGAGAAACCTTGTTTATATACAATTGTACATAAAGGGTTTTTTTGTGCAATAAAGTTTGTTTTGGCAGGACTCTTAATGTGTTTCAGTGTTCTACTTGCTGATTTTTAGAGTATGTGTTACAGAGATTGACAGAACTTTTACAGGAAAGGCAGGTGGCTTATATCCATTCACAAAAGCACCAAGGGCTTTTGCAGACCAGATTTAAATATTACATAGGAGCCCTAGAAAACCTTGCAGGTTAGATCATATTCCAAACATGCTTGAAATTTGGGCCTCTTTTCCTTGGCATCATTTGGTAAGTAATGTGTTACCCTCTTGATATTTTTGAGTAAGTTTTCTGTAACTGGCTATGTTGACAGGGAGTTGTCCACAATATCCAGAGACCACAAGCTTGCCCAAGCAAGCATCATAAATAATTTGAGGAAGGACTGATCTACCCATTAATTCTTAAATGGCTCATTTCTTATATAAACCTGTAAGGAGGGGCATTTGGTCTTTCAGATGATGAACTTCAGCTCCCATCAACCCTACTCATGTGCAGGAGTGAGGAATTATGGGAATTCAGGACCACAGAGTCCTAAGATCTTGCCCCCCAAAACATACCCAAATATTGAAGCATTCCTCTTAAACCCAAGGCTAATTTTCACCTGCCTTTTCCTAGGGAAACAAACTTGGAAACCCAAAAGTGTCCCAGACAAGCAAATGGCCCTTCTCATGGTACTTACAAAAGACCATCAGGTGCCGTTTCAGATGGCAGATATAGACATGCCTTTCTTATGTGGTCACTGTAATGGGAGTGCTCCTGGTTCAGCCCTGTTCCATCTGACAGGAATTATGCCAGAGAACCTACCACAAGTGTTGCTGTGGCTAGAGTGCAAACTATTAGCACTCTGTATTCTTGAAGGCTTTCATGGTTGGGATCCAATGGTGGTTGTGGGTTTTTCGGGCTGTTTGGCTGCATTCTGGAGGTTTTTCTTCCTAATGTTTCGCCAGTCTCTGATGCCGGCCACAGAGTCCAGCAAAACGTTAGGAAGAAAAATCTCCAGAACATGGCCAAACAGCCCGAAAAACCCACAACAACTATTGGCACTCTGCTTGCCTTCATGCAGAATTCACAATTATGAGCCTCCAAATATTCCTGGACAGTAATCCCGTCAGCCCTAGACAACATAGCCAGTAATGAGAAATCATGGGAGCTGCAGTCTCTAACAAATGATAGGTCAGGGCTGACCACCTGTAGCTCCAATAATGCACCAAATCCGCTCTTTGAAGCATCTATCTTGATATCAAGATTAGCTCTGCATACATACAGCACAGAACTAGAGAGGCAATGATTTGACAATAAACGCTGCCTGCTTTTCCTGCCCTAAGACAGTCCATATCAAGTAACTCATCACTGCCACCCAACTTGCATTCTTCATCCCAAATGAACATATCTCCATATGAATCTTGTTTTCCTGCCTGTTCTTATAACCTCAATCTCTGCTGAGATCTTAGCCCTGTGAAAATCAATGATAATACAATGCATGAAAATAGAACATTATGATTTCTTGGGCAAAAGCACAACAAGGCTATAGAGAAGTAGATGAACACTCTTTAAAAGACTGGTAAGTTATTATCCACTCTCATGCCCTAAAGATTAAGCTAAAACCTAGAAAAGTTCCTTTTTGGATTACAACTCTCACAGTCCTCCAGCCTTTATGGCCACTGGCAAGTCTGGCTGGGGATTTTGGGAGCTATAGTAAAAAACAAAAAGGACTACAAGTCTAGAAACAAGTACCCTGATTTCAGCTTGCTGAGGCATACATGATCTTACTCCTTTCAAGTATGAAGACAGAACTTGTGAACCAATGACACATTGCCCTGAATTTCTGTACCTGTACCAGGCACTGCCCATAGATTAAGACAGACTAAGATCTGTCTTTACAGGACTAGAAATTTTCCCTCGCCATGAGGTATACATAGAACCCTTACTGCTGAAGGGACCCAATATACATAGAACCACATCTGCCAGAAACCCCCTAATTGCATAATTCACAAATGGGAAAGAAATACACAACAGTACCTCACCCAACTGACTTTCATCCCAAGTCACTTCCACTTCCCCTTTCATAGATTTCTAGCGATTTCCTCCACCTTTAGGAGAACTAGAAGCTTTATAACAAAATCAAGATTTTTCATTTCCCATTTCAGATTAGCCCACTGAGTTTTGGTTATACAGATGTTTTTTTATAAAGATTGTAACAAAAATTCAATGGCTGTTGACAACCATTTGATTTTGGCTCAGTCATCGTGTCATTCTGCTCAAGAGAAGATGTTCAGATCACTCTGTCTCCTTTTTTTGGTAGTCAAGGTAAAGCTTCCTTTGCTTCTTCTGGTGTGATTTCCTGAGAGTAAAGCTCTGTGAAGAGGGCTGGAAGCCAGTACTGTGGTTCTGCTGGAGCCTGGGTATCAAGCCACGCCATACCTTCTTTCAGCAAATGATCCTATCAAAAGCCACAAAAATAATTAGCAGAAACAAGAACAAGAGGCCTATCACAAGGCGATGTGCTCATGAAGGATTATTCCCCCCACCCCCAGCACTTGGCAACATTTGCCACCAAGCAGGGTGGATTTGATTCAAATCAAATCAGTTCAAAAAATTTAAACTTGGATTTTTTTGACGATTTAAACTTTAAAACTCAATGTTTTAGAATGCAAATTGTGATTTAAATCATGATTTAAACTGATATATATATTTTAAAAAATCATTGATTTTTATCCACCCTCTTCCAAGGAAATTAAAGCTGAGGCTTTTGAAATTGGGTGGCGTACAAAGGTAAATGTTTATGCCAAGCAGAACTTTGAAAATTTACTTTTTTAGATTGTAGCCCTAGGCAACTTGGTCACTGACCATGCTGACTGGAATCTTCTGAGAGACGCAGTTTTAAAAAAGGTAATTTTTGAAAGCTGTGGATTACTGTTATGTGAATGTGCCATCAGCTGGATATGTGAGGCAACTGGCACATCCTGATCTAGTACTGTAGCAATATGTCTGAGCAGTGCAGCCATCTTTGGAAGCTCTTTTCCAATGATTAACTTTTGATTCATGGAATTTCCCCCACAAATCAATCATTACAGCATTCACCACAGACTGTGGAACAAAAATAATCCTTAATAAAGTAAAGCACTTTTAAACAATTTTGGACCTGTAACAGATTTTACAACAGAAATAAAATACATACAGAAATGTAATAATATGTCAGTCTTCACAGTTCTGTTATTACATATATGCTTCCAGACTTGGATGCTTTCTTGTCATTATAGTTAGTCAGCTTCTACCTACCAGCACCTGTTTGGCTCGTTCTGCCTCCCATTTTAAACTTGACTTGATTTCACTGATGGTCACGAACCCTTTTTTCTGAAATGGACAACATAGAATGCATTGTCACCAAAGGTTGCTTACAGAAATAAAAAGCAGGTGATGGGTGTAGCCAATTCTAAAGAGAATTAAAGAGGCACCAAAAACATGCAGAACCACATTTTGTCAGTGGAACTGAAAGGAGGACGTCTCCCCATATCTGTGCGGCACCTTGTGCAGCGCAAAAACATGCCACAGATATCTGGTGTGTGTGTGTGGGGGGGGGAATCTCTGGAGCTGATATCCTGGTGGCATTTCAAAAGGCTGCAGAAGGTTCAGGCTGAGAGGAAATTCAGCACTTCTGTCCGCACATTGCTATACTGAAGGAGCAGGTAAATGAAAAGTGCAGCTAATGCAGACATGACAACACACTGGGCAGTGGAAGCTGGTGACACTGAATCCACAGTGGTGGTGAATCTGCTGCAGATTGTAGTCTGAACTGATTGTAGTCTACTCAACATGATCAGCCCATTTTGGGGAACAGCTCTACTTCCTGTTTCTTTGTCAGTGCTAGCTGGGAGACTCCTTTCTAAACAGGAAGCTAGGCAGAACTAGGCCTAGCTAAACCTTCCAGTTGAGTCCTTTTCCACGTGAGACACATGTAGGTGTCTGAGGCCTGTGTCTCTCAGGTAGAACGTAAAAAAACCCTGCTGGATCAGGCCAAGGGCCCATCTAGTCCAGCTTCCTGTATCTCACAGTGGCCCCACCACACACCTCTGGGAGTTTGTGTCATATGAGACAACTAGATACCTGTTTCCTGATCCCCCTCCCCTGCATCTAGCATTTTGAGGTACCTTCCTTTTAAGCCTGGAGATTACACATCCCCATCATGGCTTGTAACCTGCGATGGATTTTTCCTCCAGGAATCTGTCCAATCCCTTTTTAATGGCATCTAGGCCAGATGCCATCACCACATCCTGTGGCAAGGAGTTCCACAGACTAACAACACACTGGATAAAGATATCTTTTTTTGTCTGTTCTCTCTCAACACTCAATCTGAGTGGACATCCCCTGCTTCTGGCATTGCATGAGAGGGAAAAGAGCTTCTCTCTATCCACTGTATCCATCCTCTGCATAATTTTATATGTCTCAATCATGTCCCCCCTCAAGCGTCTTTTCTCAAGACTAAACAGCCCCAAGTGCTGTAGCCTTTCCTCATAAGGGAGGTGCCCTAGCCCAGTCATCATTTTAGTCGCCCCCTTCTGCACCTTTTTCCAGTTCCACTATGTCTTTTTTGAGGTAGGATGCACAGAGTGGAGAATTAAGAAATTTGTAGTGCAAGATATCTGAAAATCCCATCCTTAGCACTAAGACCCAAGCACTTGCAAATCACCTCAGTAGTTTATTAAAAAATATCAGACAACTTTGCTAAAGATTCTCTAGCTCCATTCACAGAAATATGGCTGGGGAATACATTGGCCTCATTCAAGTACCTTATTTTAGAAAACTCACTTTTTTGGACTGCACCTCCCACCCCAAATTCCTGGCCAAGGTGGCTATGGCATTCTAGGAGCCATAGATCACCCAAAACAAGTTTATCTCCCAAGTTCTGCAAAATCTAACACAATTTGAAATGTATCTCTCAGGGTGAAACCCCACATCACTCTTCTCTTTGAGGCCATTTATTGTTAGTAACATCTGCAGGAAAGGCGAGTTGTAGAGGGTTGGAGCTAGTAAGTGAAGGCCTAAACCTGGTAGCATCCAGATGTTCTTCACTAACTCTTACAGGAGATGTAGTCCAAAAGCATGTGAAGACCACCCAAGTTACTTTCCCTTCCACTCTGCAAATGTCAACCTGATCTGATAAACTACTCCTCAATCTCAAACCAAAAGATCAAGAAGCAGTGTAATCCCAATTCAGATCAGCCTCCAGCCTGCTTTTATGTTTGAGTCAAGTAAAAGAAAAGGAGCTACACACCACAAACTGACTTAATATGTTGTTTGACCCTTTTATGTATCTTATTTATTATTTATTTATTTATTTGATTTGTATCCCGCCCATCTGGTCTGGTCGACCACTCTGGGCGGCTTCCAATAGAAGGATTTGTCGTAAAACATACAATGTTTTAACGGTTAAAAACATTTGTATCTCTCTGTACCAGCCAGCCTGGTACACACCACAAACTGACTTAATATGTTGTTTGACCCTTTTATGTATCTTATTTATTATTTATTTATTTATTTGATTTGTATCCCGCCCATCTGGTCTGGTCGACCACTCTGGGCGGCTTCCAATAGAAGGATTTGTCGTAAAACATACAATGTTTTAACGGTTAAAAACATTTGTATCTCTCTGTACCAGCCAGCCTGGGTTTTAAGCTTCCAATGTGTCATAAAACATACAATGTTTTAACAGTTTAAAACGTTTGTATCTCTCTGTACCAGCCAGCCTGGGTTTTAAGCTATCTGCAGGAGACTTTTCACTTAAGTCTCATGCCCTCACAGGCCTCATTTAGTGGCTGCCTCCTAGGCTGCGGGACTCCCTCTCACAGGAAACCAGGTGGGCTGCTTCCTTGCTATCCTTCCACTGGTAGGCTTTTAACATGTGGACTGCTGCTGAGGAAGGGATTTTAAAGGGAAACAATCTTTTTAATTTTTTCACAAATGTGGTTTTTAAATTGTTTTAAAGAGATTTTATTGAGTACCTTTTAATAATTAATATAATTGTTTTTAATAGTGCAATTATATATTTTTAGTGTTTTTAAATTATTTGTAAGCTGATCTGAGTCCCTTGAAAGAAAGAAAGAAAGAAAGAAAGAAAGAAAGAAAGAAAGAAAGAAAGAAAGAAAGAAAGAAAGAAAGAAAGAAAGAAAGAAAGAAAGAAAGAAAGAAAGGGAATTAATTAAATTTCATGAGGAGAGCTAAGGGCATAAGAGATGGTCCACATTCATGCTGGTCTTGCCATCTCCCAGCACAGTTACCTCAGCAAGCTGTATCACAACGGTGTGGTCCATGTTCAGTTCTGCCGGCACAGACTGGATCAGGTATGTCCCACCAACAGGAAGAATCCCAAAACCATTTCCTAGAACTTTTAGCTTCTTAATTGCTCGGATGAGGTCATCCCTGAGAAGTCGAAAGAAGAAGATTGAAGGTCAGACCAGTATTGGGGGAATCACCAACCTTTAGCTATGTCCAGGGTAACACTTGTTTGTTACAATTATCTGGGGTGGGGGAAGAAAAGCTACAGAACACTGTGCTAGGTGATAAATAGAACTTTCTGAGAACTACAGGTTTCTTTAAGATGCACACAAATTAACACAACACAAACACATGTTTCTAACCTTCATAGCTGTGGGAATATGTTTGGAAAGAGAACTGGCTCAAGAGATATTGCTATCTGAGGCAAAGCACAAGATTGTCCCCCCTTTTCCATGTATTATAGCTACAAAAACTGATTATACTGATAAATGAATTTTACTTCAATACTAGTAACAGAATAATCTCTTCCACAAGAGCAGTAGGATAGTTTAGAGGGCCACGGGGAATAGCTGGGGAGCTGTCACTAATGTTATGTTCCCACCAGCTGCCACCGAAAGCACCTCCCTCCTTCTGCCTGACGGTACAGCTGGCCCTGTGCCAAAGCCTACTTATGTGACATCAGCAGAAATCTCAATAGGTGACTGAACACATTTTCCTGTGGCTTGGGGTGGATTTCCATGACTAACAGAAGCAGAATAACCTGTGCCAGACAATAAAAATTACAAACACTGAGTCTTGCAGACATGATTCCAAACACATTTCCAGTCAGCAGGCACATTCCTGCAATAGGAGTGTGACAGTATTTGTGTTTTCCCAAGGTGGGGACTGTAACCTAGTCATCTCTGGATAAGGGAAAGGGCCTGCTCTACCCCCTAGAGCACCCTGGACACATGAGGGGATCACCATATTCAGCCCTGCTCTGCTACCCTGGAGCACTGCCACCCTAGGCCTAGCCAATGAAAATTCTGCAGCCGGAATAAACTAGGCTGCATAATTCCTTTCATTCTTAAAGAGACTGTACTTCTTTCAGAGCCCACATGATCTTGATTGTGGTGCTTACTGGCTGACATCTTGAGCAAATTTCCCTCGTCCTTTGAGCACTTGCTGGTGGAGTTCCTCCAGTGTGATTAAACCTGGTGGAAATGGGGGAGAGAAAGTACGTTAGAGCAGAGTCATGGATATGAAAAGTCTGAAAACTACCCAAAAAATCAGGTGACAGAGGTTGCAAATCTGATACAGTAGGCAAAGGAGGGTGGAGGAGAAGCACAAAGCCCTCCAGTTGTTGCTAGACTAGAGTTCCTATCAGCGCTGGTCAGTACATCTAATGGCAAAGGCAGATGGAAGCTGCAGTCCAGTTACATCTGACAGATCACATGTTCTCTACCCCTGCTGTACACAGGTACCCATGGATAAGTGCTATTGAACACAGTGGATTTTCCTTCTGAGGGTACATACTGTATCTAGGACTGCACCAAGAGGCACTAATATGGGGAATGTGTTCTACTGAATAGTGCTGGGTTCAATTCTGAGTAATATCAATATCAATATTTATTTTTATTTTTAAAAAACATTTCACCTGTCTCCTTAAAAATAACTCAAGTTAATCACTAAAAGACAATATTCAAAAAATAATAACAGAAAATATACAAATATTTAAAAAGAATCAAACAATTGCCATATTAAAAGGGTAAGCAAAATCAACATCAAAAACCCATTCAAAGCAACAAGGCACAACAATCAATTAAAAAACCTCTCTCCGACAGATAATCATTAAGGGAAAGCCTGCCTGAAAAGAAAGGGCTTTGTCTGCCTGCAGAAGGACAGCAAAGGTGGGGCCAGCCTGGAGTCCTGTGGGTGGGAGTTCCAGAGCTTGAGTGGAGCAACAGGGAAGGCCCTCTCCCGTGTCCCCATCAAGCACACCTGTGAAGGTGGTGGAACTGAGAGAAAGGCCTCCCCTAGTGATCTTAATATCCAGGCAGGCTCATAAAGGGAGATGCAGTCCCTGAGATAGCTTGGACCAAGTCATTCATTCATTCATTCATTCATTCATTCATTCATTCATTCATTCATTCGTCCGTCCGTCCGTCCATCCATCCAATTAATTTGTATCCTGCTTCCATTAGTGTTGAGGCACTACACTGGGCAGTTACAACACATATAGTAGAAAACAAAAATAAATGTAGGAATTAAAAGCAGCAACAATAACCCTAAAAACAGATGGCACCCACTTATCATATAAACCCAGAGTGGATAGAGGAAATGAGTGGGGGAGAAGAGGAGGGAGGGAAGGGGGGAGGAAGGTGGTCAGTTAAGGTTGCTGTGAAAAGCATCCCTGAAAAACAACATACAGTATTTAATTGTTTCCTGAATGTTAACAGGGAGGGGGCTAGATGGAATTCCTTCGGAAATTGGTTCCATAAAGTTTGAGCCACCACGAAGGAGGCCCTACCTCTTGTAGAGGACTTATCAGCCTCCCTCAGGGTGGCCACCCGAAGGAGCCTCAACTGTGATGATCTTGTGGGTCCGACAGATGCTATTAATAAAAAAAGCAAAAAAGCGTGCTGCTTATATACCGCCCCATAGCGCTTCAAGCACTCTCTGGGTGGTTTACAAGTTAATTATGCACGTTACACACTGCCACCCCCCAAGCAAGCTGGGTACTCATTTTACTGACCTTGGAAGGATAGAAGGTTGTGTCAACCTTGAGCCGGCTACCTGGGATTTGAACCCCAGGTCGTGAGCACAGTTCTGGTTGCAGTACAGCAGTTTAACCACTGCGCCATGAGGGCTTTTTAGGTTAAAACCAGCACTTTAATGGGACTGAACAACACACTGCATCCAGTTGTCTTACAATTCACTGAAGTCAATGGAACAAATCACTCATCATGCAAATCCTTGTTATTTCAATGGGAGCTATGTACAACTCAACCTCTATTCAGGAATCATTAAACTGTAAATGTACAGAGAACATAGAGATGAGCTCACTGACCCGCCCCACAAACCCAATCATCCTAGGATGAACTAGAAGGTCTGAAGAAAGCCTGTAATTAAGTTTGACTGAACATAGTTAGTATCCTCTAGGCACTTGGGAAAGTAACTGTACAGGCAATAAGAAGAATGGTGAAACACACCACACACACATACAATCCAGAGCAATGAAGTAGAGGATGGTGATCTCACCTCCATTTCTGTGCTTCAAAGCCAGACAAACTTCAATAATCTGGACACCTAGCTCATAGTAAAAATCTCCAACACCCAGCATTTCTGACCAAAATCCTTTGCCAGCTGTAAAAGAAAAAATGAGGTTTCAATAAAATATTAGTAACAAAGGACTGCACATTTCCTTTTAATTATTAGAGAGTTCATTCTGAAAGTTCTTCTTGTTACAGTTTTGTTTCCAGCACAGCTCATTCTGATGTTTCACAAGTGCTAGACTCCAAGGGACTGATTGTGATGGCTTTTCATCCATCATACAACAAGGCTTCGCTCTCCAATTCTTTTCCATCCCCTTGGATACCAATGATTTGAGGGTAACAAATCTAAGGGAGACTTTCAGTGGAGGTGGGAGGGGTACCTAGTGGGTCTCTAGTTGCTCCTGAACTGGAACTCACATCATTCTTCAGCAATGAGAAGGTAGATGGCAACTAGACCCCAACATCATCTGGAGAGCCACAGACAGTGCTGCAACTAGAGCAGCGCATTTGTGGCATTGAGCCAGGGCACCAACATTTAGAGGGCACACAGTTTGCTACAAACCAGTCCAGAGATATTTGCTGTAGAGGCACAAACCTGCCCATCCCAAACATATATACCCATATTTTCTGACACAAGGAACAGCAAGACAGGTGGGCTCCGTGTAGAATCACAATATGGCCATCACGGACTTAGATCCCGGCATTCCTCCCCTTCTTCCATCCACGTATACCAATCTCATGCAAATCAATCTTAATGAATAAGGCAGCAAGGCCCTGGGTTCTAAAATGGCAAATGATGGCTCCAGACACAGGTTCCCTAAGCTCTTCTTTGTGTTCTTCCCATTCTCCTTGTTGATTGTAAATTAAGCTTGTAAGTAGATGGGAGTGATGAAACACAAAGAGATTCGAACAATTCACTCTCAGGTGGCAATGGCAGGAGGCAGATCACCAACCTGAAAGTGTTCCCTCACACACAACATTTTTGGCCTAAGGAAAAAAAAGGTTCTGTGCTGCTGGCTGAAGGATTCTAGGAATTATAATAATAATAAAAAAGAACTTCTCCAAGATCTGGCCTCTACTAAGCCTCAATCCTTCTACCCAAAGACACTAGGTCCCCTGCTATGATGGATAACACCCTAAGTAAATACATGTTTAGTATATCATTTGCAGAACTTAAGCTTTTCATTCTGCAGAACTTGTAATATTTTGGTAACAGAGATTGCATTTTTTGGACGTGCAGAAACAGCATTTGGGCTAACATGCTCCAGACTCATAGCACTCACGCCATATAAGATGCTGTGTTAACCCATGCCTGGGTAACATGTATCTGTTTAAGACATGAAGTTCATTTGTCCTTCCTTCCTTCCCTCTAAATCACAGACATCTGCTACTATAGGAATGGGCAACTTGTGATCCTCACACCAGTGGTTCTCAAACTTGGATCTCCAGATGTTCTTGGACTAAAATTCCCGGAACCCTTCACCACTAGTTGTGCTGGCCAGGATTTCTGGGAGTTGCAGTCCAAGAACATTTAGGGACTCAAGCTTGAGAACCACTGTTTTAGGCAAATTGTGGATATAGGCCGTCATTGAGACATCTGCTCTAGACATTACTGGGGTGCAAATCTCATCATCCCTTGTCAGTGGCTACACTGGCTAGAGGTGATGGGAGCTGTACTCCAACAGCATCTGGAGGGTCACAGGTTGCCTGTCTGTACGACACAGACTCCAAAGAGGGGAGTAAGACTGGCAGACTCTCCTGGGAACTCTCGTCCCGCTCTATCCTCCACAACAATCCCCCTATTCCCCATCACTTACAGGCTAGTGGATCAACACCAATTGTTGCACACATGTCCTGGAATTGGACCCTGAACTGGGGATTTTTACGGATCTCTTGCTTGTGTTTACTGGCAAACTCTTCCAGGTTAGTTTTAAACGTGTCCAGTTGCTTGGACATCTGTAAGAGAAGTGGGGGATGACAAAGGAGAAATCAATGAGAATTAACTACTGTAGTTTCAAATACTAGCAACTCTTTTCAATTACAGTTTTGAGACCACAGCTCACACAGGACAATAATCTGATGTCATTTCTGTGAAGAAACCATTTATGTTTGTTTTTCTTTTGGACCAGAGCTTGCAAAACTGACTTTTCCAGGTTACAACTCTCAGAATCTCTTAGCCTGCAAAGCCCCTGGCCCTGCTAACTGGGAGATTCCAAGAGCCATAGCCCACAATAGTAATTTTCCAAAGAAACTGCACATTAATTTTTAATTAATGGTAAAAACAAACAAATGGGTCATCTGACCTGCATCCAATCACGCATAGGGATCAGTGATGACAGGAAACTCACATGCATTCATATCAATTGTCATTAATGTAGACCAGTGGTTCCCAGCTTTGGGTAACCCATGTGTTCTTGGACTGCAATTCTTAGAAACGCCAGGCAACACAGCTAATGGTGAAGACTTCTGGAAGTTGCAGTCCAAGAACACTTAGGTTACCCAAGGCTGGGAACCACTGATAGAGACATTTCAATATCCACAATTGTAAAGCCATCATGAATTATTAGACTCCATAGGTGATCAGGCAAAATAAACACAAGCTTATGCTAATGAAAGAAGCAGCCGAGTGTGACATCTGACAGTGGTATAGCTCACGTTTTAGATTGCATATGACACATTCCAGTTCCAGCTATTTTCCAGCAACTATACAACATACAGAAAATCACAAACCAGCATGGCCCTACTCTGTGCCCAATCCTGACCCTTCTGGTCCAGCAGCAGGGCTACTCTTTTTTTAGACCTGGGTTGAAGCATTTGGGACGTGGTCATGACTGCACAGAAAACCTGCTTTTAGACCAAGCAAATTGGCCCTTTCCAGCACAATCAACCCGATCTCATATGACGTCTGATGGCACCCTAATACCGCCCACACATTCTGAAGCCATTTTGAAAGAGCGACACTGGACACTTGTCCATCTCACCTGGGCTAACTGGTCTTCAGCTAAAACTGTTCCACGCTCCTTATATTTGGCCTATAAAGAAAACAAAGTTGAATACTATTAATATGTCACTGTCTGAAATCAAAACCTTATTTTCTCTTGGATGTGCGTACCCTATTTTCAAGGTACTTAAACCCTTTGAGAGCGATGTTCGTTTTCCGAAAAGCAGTGCTTTCAGTCATGTCACATTAGTCTTAATCCAAGATCACTGTGATGTTTTTATGACAGCTTTCTAAAGACCCCCTCAGCCTTTCCAATTAATGTTTACTTTAAGTCATTTATGATGGCAATCAACTGTAACAGCATCAAGCTACCTACCTTTTAATCCCAAGTATGGGTATAGCCAGAACCCACCTTTCCCTCCCTCCCCCTCACACACAAGCAGTGCACATTCTCCCCTGTCCCAATCAAGAGCTTTCTCACATGCGCATACTCTTTCCACACAAAGAGAAACACCCATGGCCTCCGTCTCTTCCTGCATGGTCAGATCCCATTGCTACCACAGGACCTCCTAGTAGGAAGAATGAAGTAAGCACCAGAGGCAGCAGAGTTTGGATGTCACGAAAAAGGCACAAATTAGTAATGATTGATGATTTACTCTGTTTGCTGTCATGTTTTTTGCTGAGAGAAGTGGGAAGATACATTTCTAGGATTATCTCACTCCTGTACAAATGGAATTTCTCTCAGCATACTCTACCTTGACACAGAAGGGGGCGAAGAATATTCTGTGCTCTGCCTCAAGGAGCAAAACATTTGGTGATGGCCCTACACGTTAGACCTACAACCTGCCCAGCTGATGGACATTAAGAATAGATGAAGATTATGCTCAGTGTTCCTACACATGCCTAACTAAATGGTTATAAGAACCATAAGTACACTGAGGTGCACTGCTCTCAATATTCAAGGGCACTGAACAAGTGCTAAGCAACAAGATCACTAAACTACATGACATATATAGGCATATAGCAATGGCAATTTTTCTTAACTAAGGAAACATAAGAGATAAAAATGATAATGCTAGAGCTTGTCAATATTACTTTTTTGCAGTACAACTCCAAGAATATAGATCTAAACTAATAAGTAACTGCAAGTAGAAATCTAGTAGGGCAATTAAACTATAGAAACTTAGAAAGCAGATTAGACATAGTAACATGAATAATTAGATTTAAATGACAAGATATTGTACATTGTCCTTCTCCCCCTTTCTTTACCCTTTTTATCCTGTATACCCTTTACCTAATCACTAATTTTTTTAAAAAAAGGGAGTTATGGTGAGGGGGAAAAGGTTAACAATTCTAAGATTTAAGAAAGAAATCCTAACTGTGCTGTGATGCAGGGATGGGATGAGAGAGATAGTATACAGCACTTTCTCCTGGTGAGGTGCCAGCCAATACTGAAACGTTAAAGGCACAAATGTGGGGATTTCCAGCCTTCTCAGAAGTTCCAGCCCTTTGTGCCAGCCAATACTGGAATCTTAAAGGCACAAATAATGTGGGGGTTTCCAGCCTTCTCAGAAGTTCCAGCCCTTTCTGTCCCCAACTCTTTGGAAAGTAAACAGTGCAGATCGTATTCTTTGAGCAGGAAACATTCATCAGACAAAACTGGGTGCTAAAAAGTGGGTGTGCCGCCATTCCCTACATTGGCAGGGGCTTGAATTAGATGACACTTAGCATGTCTCCAATTCTATCATTTCCGGAGAGGGGAGTAAAACAAAATACTAGCGGGATCTAGCTTTCAAGGGTTAGAGGGAAAAGCAGATTAAAAGTTACAGCAGAGGCAAAGCTTTCCTCCCGTCCTTTTTTTTTGAGGTTAAGCGCCAGAGCCATTTTACACACTCACCCCACTCCACCCTCAACCTGGCATTAAAGGCAGGAGGGCTACGGGGAGACGAGGGCGAATGCCAGGAGGGACGGGTCGCCCATGGACGTGAAGCCCTCCTGCCTCAGCCTACAAAAGCTGGGGTTTTGTGGGACGCGGGGAGAAGGCATCGAAGATGGGAATGAAAAAAGATGACCAGGCGAGACAGGAGGAAAAAGGGGAAATCTCACCTCTGCCAACTTCTTTTTGGCGATGGCACCGGCCCCCACCCCCCGGCGATGCATCATTGCAGGGGAGGGGGAAAAGGCGAGGGACGAAGTTTAGGTCTCGATGGGTTTATCGAGGATGTCTGCGGGGGGGACGGGGGGGGAAGCCGCCACCTTCGAAAGCCTCCCCCGCTGTACGTCATCAGCGTGCGACAGGAAGGAAGTGTGACTGGAGCTTGTCTCTTTCCCCATCTCTGCCACCGTTACCTTTCCACCTAAATTAATTAGATACCTCGGAAAGCACGTGGGTGGGTCAGTGGGATGTAGGGAGGGGGGCGTTTTCCCCTCCAAATCTACCTAGTATTACTTTTCTGGCTTATGTCGAAGAAGTCTTCCGGTGAGAAGCAACGCGCGAGTGCAAAGGCACCGTGCTTATCGTGGTAGTTCCCAAAGCCACTGTCCCATAAGGACAGCTGGATCAGGCCCTATCAATAAACGACGAGTATGTCTTTTGCAAAGTTAATGGTTCTTTAATTGCCTGTTCAAAACCAAGCAACAGGTATAGTTTGCAACAATATTCTGTTGCTGAGAAAATCCGTTTCTGTTCTGCAAGGGTTGTAGCTTAAGCTCAGAGGTAACAAAGAAGCCTGAGGTGGGCGGGTGAGGCCATAGTCAGCCCTACTCAGAAAACTTTAGCATTCAACCCTGGCTCCGCTACAGTGCTGCCAGACAGGGACAGAAAATAATTTGTCCCACGTATTTGTGGCACCATCAAGATTAATTATATGGGGCCATAAGGTTTATTGTTTTTTTGTACCAGAGGCTAATAGTTCTGCACTTCTGGAATTTGCTTTGTGGATGATTCCCATGGAAACTTTGGAGATGAGGGTAATATATTTTTGAATCATTGTAGATATTGCCCAAACTTCATTTTGCATATGGATCACACAGCTATGGTTCTTTCTGCTTGTTTGCTTGGTGATTAGTCGAAAATCAAACATAGGGCACTCCACATTTCAAAACCTGCATAGTTGCTTTGATAGGATAGATGATGTTCTCCTTGATTTCTCCCATGTTTCCAAACTTTGTATACTTCTGTGGTGAGCATAGCCAGTAGTGCGAAACAAGAATAGCGGTTGTAACATCTGGGGAGTTCACTGTCCATGTTTGTTCCATTCATTCCACATGGTATGCAACTTTAATAAATAAGGAACCTGGTTTCTGGTTTGACTCATATTAGCACTTTGTATGCAGTTCAGACTATGACTCAATAACTACATTACCATTTTTTTGCATGTTGTGTCTTTGAGACTCAATATGTAAACCACAGCCTAGTTTGTCCATGAGCTCTATTAAGCTATGGGGAATCTCTCTGAGGTTGTGATCCTAAACATTAACAGCACAATGCTGTAATCTTTGCTGAATAAACAGTCGCAGCGAATTCAGTGGGACATATTCCTGCAGATGGATGTGTTGAATTGCAAAGGAATCAGCTGCATTGACCTCACTAAAGTTTATTTCCCCACAATTTGTTCCTCCTTGATTTGTAACAAAGGGTATTTAGAACATGATCCCTGCACTATGCATCTTTCCCCTTTCTTTACTGGGCAACTTGGTTAAATGTGCTGTGATATTGCCCTCTAGTGGTGCATTACTTCGCTGACAATCACTGAACAGCTTCCACCGAATACAGTATTAGGGTCAGTGCAGTCCAGTATCACCGCTCCCATGTCATTTATCCCCAGGATAGAGAAGGAACTGGTTTATCCTTTGCCTAAGGGAACAAAATTTCTTGGGTGACTCCTGAGTGGATAAATAAAGTAACTGGTGTTTATTCCTGCTCTTTCCTTTTTATGACTCTTCCCTTGTGTAGAATATGTAAGTCTAAGAATGGAACCAATAGAAATATTACTCAGTGAGAAGGAAAGCAGCAAACACTAGAACTCCCCCCCTGAAATACAGGTAATAATCCAATTATTAGTTATTGTAAATAACTCACTATATGGTTTAGGACCTCAATACCTAGTGGAACACCTTCTCCCACCTAGATCTACTCGAATCACTCGATACAGCCAGGAAAGGCGGCCAAGGGGCCTAACACTGAGGGAGGCCCGGAAAGAAAGAACAAGAAACTGGGCTTTCTCGGGAGTGGGCCCTCAACTTTGGAATAAATTTCCGTCGGAAATTCGCCTGGCACCCTCGCTGGGTGTTTTTAAGCGCCAGCTTAAGACCTGGCTCGTTAGGCAAGCCTTCCCTCCGGTCACTACTTGATTTTCTTTTCTATTTTAACTTCCATTTTGCTTTTCCATCTTCAATGCCGCTAATATTATTGATTTGAATTGTTGTTTAATTGTTTATATATTGTTTTCATGCTTTTACTGTAAGCCGCCCAGAGTAGACGCAGTCTAGATGGGTGGGATACAAATCTAATAAATAAATAAATGATATACATTTTGTGTATTTAATGTTACCAAACCACTACTCAATGCACTTTAGCCCTTAGTAACCCCCTTGTAACAACAACGTTATTTTCCCCATCTACCAACATGGGAAGGCTGGGAAGTTATCACTAACAAATATCAGGTAGTCAGCAGAGCTCATCAAATGTGGAACTGAATTGAGAATTGAACTAGAGGGTGCCATATTCACAGTTCACATCCTTAAGCAACCAGTGCAGTACTCACTCCTAGTTTTGAGTGACAAAGAAGTCCCTCTGTTTTGACCCCTCAGAAATGAGTCATGTTGCTTATGTAATAATATTATCTATAATTCTGGGAGGTGTCAACAGATTTAAGGGAGCCTCAGGTCTTCAGTTAATTATGTGTCATCAAATCCTTTCCAGCATACAGCAACTCTCCCAGGTATAAAATACTTGGGTGTACTTTAGTTGTCCGACTTTCTGATGGTGTTCTAGGACTGTGCAGCTTGCTCAGGGCTGCACAAGTGGCAGCACCATCAGTTATATACACTTGAAGTAGTTTCTGCTGTCCCCTGTCCCAGAAAGGGGGGGGGGCACAACTATAAATAGCTCAATGACTACTGAGCTACTAGTAGAAATAGTAGTACTTCCTCATTATCATGGTTATAATTTTAATTGCTTTCAAAGCAATATATGATAAAGTTATCTCTGTGTGAAAGGACAAGTCACTTCATTTCTGACACTTAAAACAACTTCTGGGCTGAGAATGTGCTTAGACTTCATTTCTGACAAAACAACTTCTGGGCTGAGAATGTGCTTAGAAGCACTTTGATCATTAATTCAAGGCAAGGGCCATGCTGAGTGGCCAATACCCCTCTGATTGACCATTTTTTCTGCTGGCAATCTTTTCACGATTTCAAGGGGGGGCGAAATAGGCCTGTCAAGAACTATATACCTATGTTTGTCCACCCATGTATTGCTTGTGAAGCACTGGATTCAACTCATTTTTAGCATCTACTGCCCACAGCCCCAATCAAGTGCATTCCAGATATTTGTGAACCATGAATCCCATCATTCCCACTAAGCATGGCCAATGACGTGAAATGACAGCATAGTCCACCCCATCTGGAGGGCAAAAGTCTGAGAAAAACTGAGTAAGTATTGACATTCTGATGTCAACAAGACAGTTTTGTACGGAATACTGGATAATAGAGTTATTTCAACATATAAACCACTAGCAGTGCCATATACATACTGATGCTGCAATGTTATTTGGTGGTTTAGGTGTTCTAGTTTTAGTGTTCCCATGAAGTTTGATTCTTTTTGCCCAGCCTTGAAAAACTTCTCTCCAGCTTAATACAAAATTGGTATCTGCTTGCTTTAGTCCAGTGGTTCTCAAACTGGGGTCACCAGATGTTCCTGGACTGCAATTCCCAGAAGCCTTCACCAGTTGCTGTGCTGGCCAGGATTTCTGGGAGTTGCAGTCCAAGAACATCTAGGGACTTAAGCTTGAGAACCACTGCTTTAGGCAAATTGTGGATATAGGCTGTCATTGAGACAACTTTGGCTAGTCAGTTGCATTGAACTTTAACTCCCAGAAGCTGCCATCAGCATGTCCAATGGCCCTGGCAGTTCATGGAACACCTTTTCCAAAAATGGTGGGAGGAAGCACACCCTACCTTTATTTATGAGCCACACATGGCGTATAGTAAGGGATTATGAGTGTCATACTCCAAAACATGAGCACCCTACCTTTATTTATGAGCCACATGGATTATGAGTGTCATACTCCAAAACATGAGATACAGGTATCACACTGCTGCCATGGATGTTATGCTGAAGCCACATTCTCCTAGCCGCTTAATGTGAATCAAAGTTGCTCTCTTAAGGCAACAGTCTTACAACTATCTACCTGGAGTAAGTCCTGCTGAATTCAGTGAAACATGTCTCAGAGTAGATTTGATTGCCTGAAACAAAGGCATTCATAGTTATGCTACTGTAGTTTGGAGGGTCTCTTTCTAGGGAAATCTACTGAACCCTATGTCTCGTATGCTTACATAAAAGCTTTTCTTATTTCATCAAGTCATTGTGAAGCATGTCACTTCTGTTACTGAGCTCCTTTAGAAGTAAACACAGGTATCTCTCACACATATAACCATACGTAACTATATCTATCCATCTACTCATCCATCTGTATTATGTTTTAAAATAGATCAACCCCATCCAGCTCCACACTTGTTACATTGGTCTGTAACTCCCATTCTCTCAACTAGTATGGCTGGAGATGATGGTCATCATAGTGCAACATGGCTGAAGGATGCTAAGTTAGGAAAGCTTATTTTTGATTTTAACATTGGTTTTCTTGTTTTGTTTTTCTTTGCTTTATTCTTCTTGCTGGTTGTAGTCTTCATAGTTATATTGTTGATTTTTTTAAAAAAATTAATCTTAAAAATAAGTAACTGTGGCAGCCCTTGAATCGCAAACACTTTCAATGCCCTTGTCTGAGTCTGTCATTTAAGATGGGATTTAGACAGATCTAACTGGTAAGGATAGTGGAGGTCTCAGTCTTCCCCTGTATTATACAATGCCACCAATTCACTCAGAGTAAATTTACCTCTAAGTAAATTAACCCAGGGCATCAGCATTAAGGCCACAGTGCCAGAGGACTGGAGGATAAAACACACAGAAGAACAAGCCTTGCAGAGGGAAAATCAGCATGGCTTCTGTAAGAGTAAGTCTTGCCTCACAAACTTTTTAGAATTCTTTGAAAAGGTCAACAGGCACGTGGATGCGGGCTTAACAATGAATATTGTCTATCTGGATTTTCAGAAGGCGTTTGACAAGGTCCCTCACCAAAGGGTGCTGAGAAAACTCCAAAGTCAGGGGATAAGAGGGCAGGTCCTCTTATGGACTGAGATTTGGTTGAGAACCAGGAAACAGAGAGTGGGTGTCAATGGGCAATTTTCACAATGGAGAGAGGTGAAGAGCGGTGTGCCCCAGGGATCTGTCCTGGGATTGGTGCTATTCAATCGGATCATCAGTGACTTGGAGACAGGGATAAGCAGCGAGGTGACCAAATTTGCAGATGACATGACATTTCTCCAGGTGGTGAAGACCAGAAGGGATTGTGAAGAGCTCCAGAAGGATTTCTCCAAATTGGGAGAATGGGCAGCAAAATGGCAAATGTGTCTCAATATAAGAAAATGTAAAGTAATGCACATTGGGGCAAAAATATATATATTTAGTTATCAGTTAATGGGTTCTGAGCTGTCCGTGACAGATCAGAAAGGAGATCTTGGTGTGCTGGTGGACAGCTAGATGAAAATGTCAACTCAGTGTGTGGTGGCAGTGAAGAATTCCATGCTAGGGATCATTAAAAAGGGGACCAAAAATAAAACAGCCAGTATTATAATGCCATTGTACAAAATGCTGGTAAGGTCACATCTGGAGTATTGCATACAGCAGTGGTCCCCAACGTTTTTGGTACCACAGACTGGTTGGAAGGGCAGGGTCCGTGCATGGGGGGGCACCATCTGCGCTTGTGGGTGGGCGTGGCACGTTCACAGGTGGGCGTGGCACACTCACGGGTGGGCATGGCACACTAGCACGCATCGACTGGGGTGTGGCACATGCGCATGTGCAGATGGACATGGCACACTCACAGATGAGTGGGATGTGTATGCATGTGCGCAAGCGCACCACGCCCACCTGTTCACCTCACGCATGCACGCGAGTGCACCACACCCGCCGTGTGTTGGGGAGAGATCTGTCTCTGCGGCCCAGTCCTGCAAAGCCCACAAACTGGCACCGGGCCACAGACTGGGGGTTGGGGACCCCTGACGTAGAGTCACCACACCTCAAAAAAGGCATAGTGGAACTGGAAAAGGTCCAGAAGACAGTGACTCAAATGATGACTGGGCTGGGACACTTCGCTTATGAGGAAAGGCTACGACGTTTGGGGCTCTTTAGTTTAGAGAAAAAGCACCTGAGCAGGGACATGATTGAGACGTATAAACCTCTGCAGGAGATGGATAAAGTGGATAGAGGGAAGCTCTTTTCCCTCTCACACAATACTAGATAGCCTAGATGCCTTTAAAAGTGGAGTGGACATATTCCTGGAGGAGAAATCCAGCACAGGTTACAAGCCATGATGGGGATGTATAATCTCCAGGCTTGAAAAGAAGGTACCTCCAAATGTCAGATGCAGGAGAGGGGTATCAGGAGTCAGGTATCTAGTTGTCTCATGTGCTCCCAGAGGCCTCTGGTGGTGCCACTCTGAGATACAGGAAGCCGGACTAGATGGGCCCTTGGCCTCATCCAGCAGTGCTCTTCTTATGTACTTATAAAGTTCATGACTACAGCAGCTCACTCCTCATTTTTATTGTTCTAGAATAACATATAGAAGCATATCTTCATCTGAGAATAAACTGTTTCATTGGTGGTGGTGGTATCATCATTATACACATGAACAAAAGGTATATAAAAAGGAGAGCCAACTAGAAGTTAATCTGTCTTCTTCTGGGTCCTGGGAAAAACAGAAAAGAAGGGTGAACAAATAAAAAGTTTGGAAAGATTCCAAAGATGGGAGGTGAAAACAGAGATGGAGTATGGCTTTGTTCAATACCCTGAGAAAAATCATTCTTTAATGCCAGTACTTAGCACTCCCAGCAGCTGCTTCTAAATATTACTATCAGTATTATTTTTATTAGTAGATTGATCTTAGAATCAGTGCCTTTATCCCTATCACCATCTGCATCCCATAAAGTGGAAAGAAATGGTCCTGATTCTAAAAGCTCAACATTCTTCTTTGTGAATGTTTAGTGACAAATAGCCTCAAAGTATGTATTCCCTATGTTACATTTTTGTTAATATACCCAGAGAAAAATAAAAATTTTAAAAAATGAAATAAAAAGCAAAGCCTTTGTTGCACTTTAAAGACTAACTTTTATATTCAACATGAGCTTTCATGGATACCCCCTCTTCTTCAGACAGACATATCTTTGAAAACCCTCTGTGGACATTTTGGGTTCCAGGTTTAGTCATGGTCAGAACAGATTCGCTGACACCTGTAGGACCTACATTAGTCCTGATTTATCTGAGTCCCATGTTTCTTTCCGGGTCTACTGTTAGCATTAGTATAACTGGATTCAACTCTTCATATTCTTCAGTGCCATTTGTTGACTGTTTTTGTAGTAGCAACCAGTATCTGCCAACCAATAAGCAGATGTGATCAACATCTAAGAGTTTGGCATGCAGCAGTCCATGCCAGGTGTTTCAGATAACATGCTGCTTCATAAAAATGTCACACATTAAACAGTGTAACTGAAATCACTGGATGGATTCTGGGCACAGTTCAGCCAACACTGGGTATCATTAGAAAAAAGGGAAACAAAGCAGTTCACTCACATTGGCCTGCAGAGGTCAGCAGAAATCAGCCATGACAGAAATTCTTGCCTCAAGATGGCCTTCCAGTCATCTGAACCCTTTGGTGGAACAGTACTACAAGAGAAAGGATTGTGTTGAGGTTGACATTTCCCACTAGTGGGAGCCCAGAGTTTGAGATGGAAAATAAAGGAAAGTTGTAAAAGAGTTGTAGCTTGAGGGAAACTGGGAGTGAAAAATCCCAGGATATCTGGTTGCCTAGGCAACTACAAATGTGATCCTGGCAACTAGGAATTAGCAATGTCTTTTTCTTACTACAGTTCTTCTAAAAAAACCTCCATAGGAATCTCATGCCCGACATCAGTTTCCGCCTACATGATGTAGAAAATGTATTGAAATCAGAGTGAGAACAAAAAGGATAAACACCGGCAGGTTGCCATAAGTCTGCCAGCCCCATTTTCCAAAATGGCTACCAGCTATTCTTTCACAATAAAGCATGGCATCTACATTCCATCCCTAACATGTACGTCAAATGGCATTTCCTTACTAAATATCCACAGTCTATAATCCCTGATAAAGTAAGCATCAGTTGTCTAAGTATAGACAATAACATTTGTCAGAGGAGTGCTAGGTTTTCACTTCTTTTGTTCTGGTGAAAAAAAATAAACAATATTGGTGTGTATTGTTTTTCTTTTTGGATTATAATTCCCAGAACTTCCCAGGAAACTATGTTGTTTGGTAGAATTCTGGGAGCAGTAATCCAAAAACAAACCTGCACACCTCTAGTAAACCATATGGGAAAGATGTTGCTGTGTCTAGATTTATACATACTTAGTGTAAAGCCACTGAAATCAGGGGTACATAAGTTAATCATGACCAACTTAAGTGCCTTTTCTTCCACGGACGATGCAGCTACAACTAAGAAGTTAATTCAGCTTGATTCAATGCTTTCAAGGGTTTTTCACCCCCATGTATTAATGTTGCTATTTGATATTTTGTTACTTTGTTGTTCTTTGTTCTTTGTTGTAAAAAACCCCGAGTGGTCTTGGCTGCCAGATGAGCAGTATGTATATAAATCAAATAAATAAACAAATCATCATCTACACCACCTCCCTGGCAGCTTTCACTGTTGAAATCACTACAATCGTTCACATGGAAAACAATAATGATCTCCACGTGGACTCGTGTTGCAAGAGTCCACATGGAGGGGGGTGGAAATTCTGACTTGCCTCTGACATTCCTTGAGTTTCCCCCATACACCTCCACATCTCCCTCCTTCAAGCTCCAAACAGTGCCAGCAGCAGAAGCAACCCCTTGGGGCAGGAAAGGAACAAGAGAAGGCAGCTGTGTGAGGAGCCAATCTCCTTCCCAGCCCAACTTGACTCCTTGTCCCCTTCTGCAGTCTTGCCCTCAGGTGCTCTTACACACCCGCCCGTACCCTGTCCAGGCTTCTTTACCCCTTCTTGGAGAGCAACACTTGTGTCAGGTGGGGGGGATGACTGTCACTTGGACTGTTCATGCCCTCAGTTCTTGGGGAGCAGCAGGGCCATCTCCCATAAAGAGATCAAGCAGAATAACCACCTTATTGCTCTGCCAGTTTCTCTCCTTGGCTCTCCCTTTATTGTTGGAATAAGGGAAAGGTACCGATGGAAAAGGCTTCAAGAGTTAATCTTGAGGCAGAATCCGGAGCCGGAGTCCCAGAGGCAGTTCATGTCATTCTGGTAACACCTGCAATGTCGCTGGAGCCAGTTGGCTCTTGCCTTTCCAGCGAAGTGGAGAGGGGGGATTTGCTGCTTGGTTAAAAGCCTATCCTCCATATTATTTTACCCAGGCTTCGTGCTCTGGAGAGGACACTCTCCAAGTCCTCCATACAGAGCACGTTACCATAGTCTCTCGAGACTAAAGGATGCCATTCCAAGGGAAAGGTTGTAATTTTATTATTTATATATTTTCTATTTTCCAAGATGACAGAGTACGTATTTGATCAACGCCAACTTGAAAGGGTTTTTAAAATACTCTTTGGAGACAACAGGCAGTCAGTTGAAGGGAACTGACACCCCTCGACTGTTCCTTTGCATTGATTCAGACAACCACATAGAGCAGAAAGTAGTGAAAAGTGATGCCAGCTGAACTGAAGCAAAACAAAAACAAAAATACCTCTGCCGATTGAACTAAAATCCCTCACTGAAAAAAAATACCATTTCCCATTGGGCTTCTAATTTTCATCTGTGCCAAATCAGATGGAAATTGTGGAGTAAATGGCCAGTGTAGATGTCCTCAGAGTTTCCTCCAAATATGCCTAATTTGATCCCAACCATTTAATTTCCAATATACAGATTGTACAGATTACCATCAGATTCCAAAATAATCGGTAATTTCCAATATGTCATAGTACAGATTACCATCAGATTCCAAAATAATCTAAGTGATTGCCAGGTTGTAGAAGCCCTATCCTGTTCTACATATGGCCGCTGTACTCTAACCTGGAATAAATAAATAAATAAATTTAAATGCAACCCTGTACCCTATCCTGTTCTACATATGGCCACTGTACTCTAACCTGGTATAAATAAATAAATTTAAATGCAACCCTGTGCTGAAATAGAATGTTTATGCAGTACAGATTAATATTGCCATTGTTCTCACCTCTGGTTCTCTGTGTTTTGCAAAATCCAGATTAGTAAATCTGTTGCCTCCTGAGATCCAGCTACAGTGCCTTGATTCATTGATCCCAGCACTGGAGGTCCAGCTTCTCTTTTGGATGGTTCAAGGCTGTTACTGGGTGAAAATAAACAAGATGACATCATTCTGAGATTCACTAAGAAGCACCATGATACAGACCTTGTCAAAGTATCCTTTGGGGGCATCAGTTCCCAGTGGACATCCAGGAACAATGGTTTAAAAATTAAATTTCCTGAACTCTCTTCATCTTTGTCACACCTATATCCATTACACCCTGGTTTTTGCATTGAGACATTCCCTTTTTTAAAAAAAGTCCAAAGTAAAGTTTAAGAAAAGCCATTGCCTTCTTACTTGCATGTTTCCTTCCCACCTAACTTTGTAAGCTTCAGTTTCAACACCAACTTCCTTACAATTCTGAATAAACAAAGGAAAATGCATGGGTGCTACAGACTCACTCAATCCGGTGCTCTCTTCTGTTCAGGAGCCACTCCACAAAGTTTTTCTTCAACATGTTGTCCAAAGTTCGACTATAATCACTTGCTAGTGTTCCTTCTGAATAACGCCTCTGTGGTACTCTGAGATTCTTCGTGTTTTCCCTAGAACACGTAGGAAAAACAAAAATAAAAAGATGAATCTTGGGGAAATGTTTGTATTTAGCTTAAGAAAACACGCTTATACTCAAATCAGATGCACAGAATTACACACAGAATTAGGAGATCAGACATTTCTAATTTTCAGCAAACCATAGTTTCTTTTTTCATCTAAACACAGTCAATCATGGCTTGTGTGATCCAGAGTCTGCTCTCAGATTAGGATTTCATACCAAAAATCAAACTGTGGTTTATGGTCATGGTTTGAAGGCTAGTTGTAGTTTTGATAAAACAAAATTTGATACATTTGGATAACAGGACAACTAGTAGCTTGCTGGCTAACTAAAAGCATAATTATCTAGTCTCCTTTCTCTGCATGCTGAGAAAAGGGGGAAGAGGAGAAGGAAGGATGAAATCCCCAGTACTTCTAATTCTTGAGTCTCTGATGTACATTTGGAACATCAGTCTAAATCCAGCCTCAATTTCTATGGAACCAGCACTTGCATTATTTCATTTTAATTGGCCTTTTGTGCAACATTTCAGCATGATGCTGGACAAATCTATGAATTTTCAACGGCTGTAAGCAAACATACTTGATGTAAAGTTTTGAGGAAATTCCATTTTTCAAGATTCATTAATAAATCACTATTCTCCATAGAAGTAATGCTGATTGTCCTTATTGCATTACAGGATATTTCTGTGCCATGTAGTGCAAAACAAGGATAGATCCAGGGTTAGTGATTAAGCAGGAGGCAAGACATGGTATGCATCTGTGGTGTGACTCCTGTGTTATGTCTGGTATATGTGGAGGTATGTGCAGATCCTTGTGTTTCTTATCTGTGCCACTTTTGCTGTATGGTTGGCTCATATTTCCTTGTGTACAGGATGGAAAGAACTTGGATTTTAAAAATATATATGTGGCAGAAAGTGGAATTCAGAGTTGTTCTCACTTCTACTTTACATGCTTTTTTCCATAGGAAATCATTTCCATCTTGTTTTCTTAATAATCCACAAATTTTGTTTTCAAAATCTGTGCCAAAATTAGCATTTAAACCTGCATTCTATTTTGTCTTGAAGCACACATTGAAAATCATAATTAATATATGCTACAATTTAAACATGTGTTGATATATTTAAATGGCTGAGAACTATGTTACAACTTTTAAAGAAAGGTGACATCTAGTAGATAATCTGGTTTAGGTACCCCTGCATATTGTGATTAGCAAAGGCAAAATTTCTTAAGCATCTGTTTACATGCACTTACCTAGTGCCATTTTCATCCATCAGCACAAAGCTAAGAGAGACCAAAATGAGGGAGAGAATTTTGAAGGACATGTTTGCCACTTGAATTCTGTAATTCAAAAAGAATATATCAAGCATGAGAGAGACAATTTATTGTAATAGAACCTCAAAGGGAATGTTTTCTTTTGCATGCACACACTGAGTTGTTTATATGTTTTAAAGATTTTTTAAAAATTATAATTTCAGAAAGATTGAAGAATCATGACACAGTGTACATGAATAGCAGATTTGATCTTTGCAGATGTAATAAAAATATGAACAAAGAAAAATTATGAGCATAGTTTTAAAAAATGAAAAAAAGCCATATGTATACAAATATGATTAATAATTATTCCTTCCTTCCTATCAGAGCATTACACAATTTAAAGTTATGGACCTAAACGAAATATACGTAAACTTAAAAACAAATTTGAAATTATTGTTATTTGTGGTCCTAAAAGGACCGCTGGGTCATTTTGCTTATCAGCAAATTTGCAGTGCAACAATTCTGGAAGTGAAGGATTGGCTGGTTGCTTGCCACTGCCCAGGGGACATCCAAGTGTACTCATAATGCTTTTCTACTCTTTGGGGAAGCTCCTTCTATGTCCTATTGATCTATTAATGATGATAAGCAGGTATGGGACAACATATTTGACTCAAGTTGCATACTATAAACAGAGTAAAGAAGAATACATATTTTACAGGAAAACTGAGTGCATTTATAAATAATTGAAATATGAATTTTTATCACAATAAGTCTCCTTACGCATTAGTTTAATGTAATTATCTTGCTGATGATGTGTATGTACAAATCATTGATATTTTTATAAATTTATGAAGAATATTTTAATAATGACAAGAAAGAAGTACTCAGATAAGAATGAACACTGATGAATTTAGCAGGAGAAAAATCCCACTGCAAAGAGTACATAGCTGCAAGGTGTTATAATATGGAGTAGTCAAGAACTCTGAATTTAGCCTGACACAACAGTCTTGTACCAAGGCTTTACTTGGCATCAGTAGTTACATTGATCCAATTGCTATCTTTCTATAGAGCATCTGTGCTTCTACCTTTCACATCTAAGCTTATTCCTCTAGCATGTGGTAGAAAGATCACAAAAGAATAGAGCTGGCCAAATATATTTAGATGCCTGAAACGGAAAATTGAAATTCAGTTTAGTTTTCAGTTTGGTATTTATAACAGTTTACCAAATGTTGCAAATGTGTTTATATTCTATACAGAAATATGTGAGAGTTTAAAAATACAAATACAGGGAAAACCAACACTGACAGATGTATCCATCTAGGTCTATGGCTTGGCATATTCCTCTACATTCAACCACATCAATGATGAGTTAGAGTTGCCACCTCTTTTTATCTGAGAGGTTTCTCATCCTTACTACCTAATTAGCAGGCAAATACAGCATGGCTCTTTCAACACTGGACATACCTATTAGGGATTGGATTTTTCATGTCTTTTGCACCCCAGCTCCTAGAATTCCTAAGGAATTCCTCCGGGCAGAATCCTGGGAGATGCAGCTCAAAAATAGTTTAAAGAGGAATTTTTCTCACCTCCAAGTGGGTTTCTGTTGCCATAGGCCTTTTAGAAAGAAGGAAACAGCTCGCACTGGTGCTTTGGACTGGTGCTGGGGTTCATGGGGTGAATAATTATTTGAGAGCATCCCTTTATAGAGCCTAATAGGCAGTGAGTCTACCTGTCCCATGATCCCTTGACACTTCTATGAACCCTCAGGCAGTCCTTCTGGAGAGTACAATTTGATGATGGCAGAGGCCCACATGGAGGTGGCAGAGGGAAGGTCTGTGTTTGGGGAAATTCCTGGAAAATTATAGAAGTTGCAGTCCAAAAGCAGCAAAAGATCAATGCCTAAGAGCTATATGTGCTGAATTTAGCTGGGGCAAATAAAAAATAATGATGTATCAGTTCCTTTTTTCTAATCATCTACCAACGTTTACCTACAATTTTCTTCTCATTCAGAATGGAAAGAAGGTAAGGTTTAAAAATATCTGAACACAGGAGAAACAAAATGGATGGATTTCCTTACCTCTGTCATCCCTGTCCCTTTTGTAAACAGATGATGCACTAAAAGACGTCTTAGCACACCAACAGTGTATAGTGTGCCCTCTAACTGTTAAAATGATCTTACCTTTTGTATCTTTCAAAGCAGCTGTTGCAGAGGAAAGAGAATCTAGTATCCAGCAAGAGCTCTGAGGATTCCTTATATACCCAAGGGTGTGACAAAGCAAAGCCATTTCCTTGAAACAAAACAGGAAGCCCTGCACCTAATCAAACCAGATTAAAAGCAATTTAGATCAGCATCTATAGGTTCACTGACCTTTGGAGCATGAAAATGCCCTTTTAGAGCATGTTTGCATTCATGGCAATTAAACTTTTGCTGTGTTGCTAAAATGAAGATCCGGTGCATTTTCTATAATTAAAGCCATTAACCAATCCAGATTTCCCCAAGAACCACTCCTCTGTTAATTAGCAGGCCCCAATGGATGATGCCCATACAAGTTGCCTTGACTGCAACCTGTCTTGTATCTCAGCCATTTCCCCACACACTTGTTTCGTTGGGGTTGCTACCGTATTTTCCCCAAAATAAGACAGGGTCTTATATTCATTTTTGCTCTAAAAATGCATTAAGGCTTATTTTCAGAGAATGTTTTTTTTTCATGTACAACTATCTTCATTTATTCAAATACAGTTAAGTCATCTTCTTCTGGCACAATGGTGGCAGGCAAGGTTTCACTTAGCTGGGGCTTAGTTTTGGAGTAGGGCTTATATTATGAGCATCTTGAAAAATCATACTAGGGCTTATTTTCAGATTAGGTCTTATTTTGAGAGAAAGAGTGCCTTAAAGCTACCAAATGGTGGTTAGCACTGCCATATACAATACCATTTAATACAGTGGGGTCTCTACTTAAGAACGTCCCTACTTAAGAACAATTCCACTTAAGAACAGCTCCATTTGCTAAATTTTGCTTCTACTTGAGAACAAAAATCCAGATAAGAACAGGAAAAAAAAACTTTGAGAGAAAGAGTACCTTAAAGCTACCAAATGGTGGTTAGCACTGCCATATAGAGTACCATTTAATATTAGTGAGGTAACACAGGTAGAACATCCACTGGTCCATTGTAACTGGTACTTGTAAAAGTCACTTTTCTGGACCATAATGCCCTATATCCTTTAAGCTTATTCTGGGAGTTGTAGTTTGTTTGTTAAAGTCTAAATTCTAGTTGCAACCACAGCATAATCATTGGCATCTAGTAATTACGTTTTATTTTTTTAAAGTTATCAAGTAGTAATTTATTTTCATGCAAAGCCATTTACATTTTCAGAATGCTCTATACTAAGTCATACAAAATTATATTATTTTATATAAATCTTCTACTTTTTTACTGCTATTCTTTGCTGTTTTAAAACATATTGGTTCTATTATTCTTTTTGGCCACTAGAAGTCCATCTTTTTACTCAAACACTATCAATGAAACTGACGTCATGACAAACGGAAGTTTGTAAGACATGCAATTCTGCCTTCACAAGTTCTCATTTACTTTCTGGGTCAGGGCTACAAGAACTTGGAAAGTTACATCTTGCACTTCAACTCCCAGGTGTATTTGGCTAAGGGATATTAAAGCTGCAGTTAAAAAAAAAACTTTTCAAAATCCTGAATTGTACCATAAAGCAGGGCCAGTCTCCTGTACCTTGTCCTCAATAAAAGTGCTGGAATTCATGGTGGCATCTCAATTACATAGGTTCTTAGATGAGACAAATTATCTATACTCATTTCAGTCTGGCTTTGTGGACTGCTAAGAGATGCAGGCAGCTTTGATCACCTTGGCAATCAGTTGAAGGGGAACGGAGGTGCTAGTGGTGGTTGCAGAGGTGCCCCTATGGACACTTCTGCAACCACCACTGTGCACCAGATCAGATTATCACACATGCCAGAAAGTAGAAAAAAAAGCAATGCACAGCTAGATTAGATCAAAATAATCTACCCTATGGGAGCTGTTTAAAAAGTGACAATTCCCCAGTGAAAAACACTAGGCTTCTTTGCACTTAACTTCATGTTTTGTAGCTGTTGGTTTTTACTCTTACTTTTTATCCATGCCAAGTCCTACACAAACTGCGGGGTAAATAGCCAATGTAGTTGCACCCTAACAAGAATAACTGGTTTGATCACGTTTCAAAATCAGTTCCCCCAGAGCCCATTTTGCTGGGTAATGGATTGGTTATTTTGTTTTGAAAGGTTTCTGAAACAGTTAAGAGCTAGGAAAACAAATTTTAACACAGATTTGCTGACTTGAAAAACTAGCTTGGCTACATCTCAAAAAGTCACAATCCTAAATGCGCAAGACGGCTGAGCTGATGATAAATCAGCTGAGCTGTGCTGAATCCAAAACTGTTCCAGATTAGAGATGCTAGAAATTACTGACCTAATTTTATGCCAGCACAATAGCTGTCAATCTAAGGTGAGAGGGGAGTTGGTTTTGGTATAGCGCTCCTCCACTTCTCCCCTTCTCCATCCCTTTTTTGGCTGTTCTGCCAGGTGATCTCAGCCACCATAGCTCTTCTGCTGGCAAATCCAGTTGTCTTGGTGGATCTGACATCAACCAGCACAAGGGCAGTTGTGTTAGTACAAGAGGCTTCCAGCTGTTCCAAAGCTACTGCAGCTGGCATACCTTTGATTCTGGACGACACTGGAAATCAGTTTCCTAACAACAACTCCCATGTTGTTTGTTTGCTTATTCCGAAGGAATTCTAAAACAGTAAGGAACGTGAAACTTTGCAAGGATTTTATTTTAATTGCCTAATTTCAAGAACTAGATCGATTACATCTCAAGATGAGTTGTCCCACAATCCTGTTTGGTTGTTTGTCTGGAAAGATTTCCAAAACAAGAGCTAGAACCCATTATTTCTCGGTGTGGGCTGGATATAACAACTGTCAGGTAGATAGACGGTTGGCTACAGAATCATACTCAGAGGGTGTTGGTTAACAGCTCCTTCTCAAACTAGGAGGAAGTAAAAAGTAGGGTACCCCAGGGCTCAGTGCTATTCAATATTTTTTATTAATGACCTGGATTAGAGGATACAGGGAATGCTAATCAAGTTTGTGGATTACTAACACGCTGGAAGACAGAAACAAAATTCAAAATGATCTAGATAGGCTTTAACACTGGGCTGAAAACAACAGAATGAAATTCAACAGATAAATGACAAGTACTGTACCTAGGAAAAAGAAACCAAACACAAAGTTACAAGATAGGGGATAACTGGCTCAGCAATACTACGAGTGAAAAGGATCTGGAAGTCATTGGAAGTCACAAGCTGAATATGAGTGTGATGTGGCTACAAAAGAGGCAAATGCTATTTTAGGCTGCATTAACAGAAGTATAGTCTGCAAATCCTGTGAGGTACTTGTTTCCCTCTATTTGGCACTGGTTAGGCCTCATCTTGAGTATTGTGTACAATTCTGGAACGACACTTCAAGAAGGATGTTGACAAATTGAAACAAGTTCAGAGGAGGGCAACAAGGATAATAAGGGGTCTGGAAACCAAGTCTTATGAGGGAAGACTGAATGACACTTCATGAAGGATGTTGACAAATTGAAACAAGTTCAGAGGAGGGCAACAAGGATAATAAGGGGTCTGGAAACCAAGTCTTATGAGGGAAGACTGAATGAACTGGGCATGTCTAGCCTTGACAACAGAAAACTGAGGGGAAATATGAAAGCATTTTCCAAATATTTGAAAGGCTGTCATACAGAGGAAGTACAGGATCTGATCTCAGTCATCCCAGAGTGCAGGACATGCAACAACATTACACAAAGCCAGATTTCAGTTGAATATCAGAAAAACTTCCTAACTGTTAGAGTAGTATCACAATGGAACCAATTATCTTGAGAGATGGTCAATGCTCCAACACTGGAGGCATTCAAGATAAATTTAGACAACTACCTGACAGATATCCTTTGATCTGTATTTCTGCACTAAGCAGGGGATTTGACTCGATGGCCTTATAGGCCCCTTCCAACTTTCTGATTCTATGGTTCTATGATTTGCATAGATATTACAGAGACTCAGTTGGGCCTGCTGATTAACTTTTAGTAGGGCCTGATAATAGACAATTGTGGGACCATTCTGTGATACAAATTCTGTGATGAGTGGGTTGGAAAGAGAGAGGGAGCAAGATCAAAATATATACTGTAATTTGGATTGTGTGGGTGAAGAAAGAAAGCACTTGGATGAGGGTGGAGACCATGGGTTTTTAACCAGGGCAAAGCTTGGTTCAAACACTAATAGACAAATACATAGAACAGGGAGGAGATGGAATGAGTGACTATTTAGTACAGTAATTGCGAACTTGTAGATTTCTTAAGTATGGAAAAAAGACGGTATTTATAGCAGATCAATTATTGATGGTAGAGCTACTGTACAACCCTGAGAGAGTGAATGGGACAGAAACAAATGTGACAGACAGTTTGTAATTAGAAGAGAATCCATAAACTGCTGAAAGTACCTGAAGGTACAGCAGTAGATTTTCTTTCATATAACTTACACATTAACTTGTTTTGTTTCATGATTGGTCTTACAGCAGTAAATTTTCTTTCATATAATTTACAAATTAACTTGTTTTGTTTCATGATTGGTCTTCAGGCCTTAAGTGTGAGATTTATTTGAAGTCTGATTTTGCAAATATGAAAGTCTACCTGAATCATGTATTTCCGACACTACTATGCTTTCAGCTCCCATGACAGGCTAGCTGTCCCATCTGTTTCTGCCCAAATGTGCTACAGTATAATTTTCTTTCATATAATTTACAAATTAACTTGTTTTGTTTCATGATTGGTCTTCAGGCCTTAAGTGTGAGATTTATTTGAAGTCTGATTTTGCAAATATGAAAGTCTACCTGAATCATGTATTTCCGACACTACTATGCTTTCAGCTCCCATGACAGGCTAGCTGTCCCATCTGTTTCTGCCCAAATGTGCTACAGTATGGGTGTGACTTATATTATGGTATGTTTAATGGGTATTGAGTGGATGCTGATGCTGTTAGGTGAAATGTTTGGTAATAGAGTATATGTTTGAGTTGACATACTATTTAACAGCTTGAGTGGTGGTATCACTAGGGAATTACAAAATATTATGGTATGTTTACTGGGTATTAGTGGATGCTGATGCTGTTAGGTGGAATGTTTGGTAAT